ACATCGTGATCATGGTCGTCATCATCATCATCATCGTCGTCGTCGTCGTCATCATCAACGAAAACAACATACCCAGGTCAGGTCACACCGATCCCTAGCCCCAATCCCTACCCCCAACTTGGCAAAGGAGCGGGTGGGGGTCGCTGGTACTTCACCTAGGACCCCCTTTGAGCCATAGTGGCTGCAACCAAAATAGCAATGGGTGTGACCCGCTCTGGATGCCCATTGGAAAACGGGCTTTGAAATAAGATAACCCCAGAACGGGATGGTTTTATGCTAGAAACGAAGCAAGCATCTTTTGGCTTCTGAATGCCTGAATGTTGCCCCATGGCCCGTGCCCATGATTTCTGTCTCACCGGTGCCGCCTGAAGCGCCATGTTGCACCGCCAAAACAACAAGCGAATGAGATACGAGTTTGTGCCAAAATGTCAAATTTTCCACATGGCAAGTGAATGGGAAACATCATCAGGGGTGCCCTATAAATTCATATAGTAATTAAACAGCCAGTGCCAAATCAAGAGTATTGTCGCTGTTTTGAATCAAAAAGTCTAGCCCCGTCCTTCCAGTAGCTAACTTCCGTTCCAGTAAAAGAAGCTCAACAGACTCTGTCGCACTGCAAGTAAGACAAAACATACCCACTGTCCTAAGTTGTTCTAAGCTGAAAGCCAAAAACTTGAGCCAAGCGAAGGGATAAAGTCTGCACGACATGATTCAAAACAAAAAGCAACCGGCACAGACCATGCTTCTTTGTGTCTGTACATGTCTACGAATACATACATACATTACCTTACATTCCATTCCATTCCATTCCATTCCATTCCATACCATACATACATACATTAATTACATACATACATACATACATCCATGCATACATCCATCCATCCATCCATCCATTCCTACATACATACATACATACATACATACATTACATACATTACATACATACATGTACATATATATGATAAATCGGATAGATTGGATAGATAAGATAGATTAGATAGATTAGATTAGATCTAGATAGGATTAGATCTAGATCGGATTAGATTAGATCAGAAAAATAGATAGACTATATAAATTAGATAGATTAGATTAGATAGACCAATACATACATTATAATGTGGCATCTTTCTTACAGCACATTACATTACATTACATTACATCACATCACTGATTCACATCACATCATATTACACTAAATTTCATTAAATTCAATCATGCCATATATGTAAACATATGATCTATCATTTATCAGTTACTACAAAATCATTACTAAATATAAATATGTATATACATATATATTGCAAATTAAATGCTGGGTTAAATTCCATAAATATACATTTTACATCATACATATATCACATGTTAAATATCATGAATGATACATCATATATGTAAAACAAAAACATATATTATATATCATATATTTTAATTCATACATTATGCAATTAAAAAATTAAAGATCATGTACTACGGATTAGATAGTGTGTTAAAGAGTAGATACTTTATGTTATATATTATATGGAATAAAAGTGCTTAATACTTCATTGTTTGGTTTACATTGCATTATAATATTTAAGTAGTTTCTACTATATTAACATATATCATAACATAATTTACTATAGAATATAGTTCATCGCAGTAAATCATAGTGTATTGTATTATGTTGTATTCTAGATCATATTATATCATATTATATCATAGTATACTATAGTATATCATAGTGTATCATATTATCGTATTATATCGTACTAAATTATATCGTATTATATTGTATTAATTATACCATATTATATCAAAGATCATGCTATATTATATCATACTATATCAGATTATACCATATTAAATCATACTATATCAGTGTATTTCAAGTTACATCAAAAGATGCTCCATGGTATTACATTATTGTATCGTATAATATTGCATAGCGCACTATAGTATATCACAATATCTCATGGTTTAGTGCAGTACAGTATGGTATAGTATGTTTGTACATTGAATTATGTAGCACGTTGTAGTAAATTATACTAGATTTCACCGATGTTTACCGCACTATTAGTACTAAAATATCTTATATGTTGTTATACTGTACAATCTCAATGACATAATCTAAACCCACATCATATCATATCACATTGTAAATCTCATCATATCATGTTATGTGAACTGATATCAGCATATCACTTACGGGGTCTTAAAAAAGAAACAAAAAAACTTGCCTGAACACCTGTAATCCATTTACATAGGTACATGCATTTGTGTATTCATTGTGTATATATATATTCTATGTATAAGCAGTATATGCATATACCTATAGTATATACATATACATATATATATATACATATGTATATATATATACATATATGTAAACGGGCATAACGTGTTTCACCGCCCCCACCCAGTGTTTTCAAGTATTCTATATGTGCACGTTTCAGAGATGTTGTGCATGTTTCAGAGATGGTGTGCACGTGTCAGAGATGTTGTGCACGCTTCCCAGCAGTTGTGCACGTTTCACAGAAGTTGCGTACGTTTCACAGAAGGTGTGCACGTTTCACAAGCCTCCGAATGATGTTCGTGTTCAACTGCATTGGGGCGACCAAACACGTTCTCCTGATATAAACATATACACGTATATACAGACAAATAAACACATATACACGACATATACACATATACGCATATACACATATACACATACTTACATATATACATATATACATATACATACATAGATATACACATATAGACATGTATACATGTATACGTATATACATATATACATAGTTGCATGTATTTACATATGTTTACATCTATTTACATAATTTAGATATGTTTACATATATATATGTATATATATACAAATATATGTACATTTAGATATATAGATGTATATTTATATGTATATATATAGATGTGTATATATATATATGTGATATGTAATATAATTATACACATTTATACATAAACGCATTACAAATTTGGACATGTGGTTTTGAGCCCTGAATTTGCGCAGTTGACTCACAGCATCTCACACCCGTATATGTACATATCACATATGTGCTACGTTCTATAATTCGCACATATGACATATATGACATATCACCTATATGATATCTACATTATATATGGTTCACGTCACCTACATTATATGTAAAATGACAGATTTGATATATAAATTAATGTATATGGTTTATTGTATATGCATTGCATATACATGTAAATATATATATATATTTACACAGTGCATATGTAAGTATGTATATATATATATATACATATATCACCTATATATATATATAAATTTTATATATATATACATAATATATATAATGTATATATATATATTGTATATAATTATGTATATATAAACCATCTATATATATATATAGAGAGAGAGATGGTATATATATAGAGAGAGAGAGATGATATATATATATATACATACGCATGTATGTGTGTAGTATATTTGCAATCGTACGAACATCAATGGAATCTGCAGCCACGGCCATGTTCCGCGCAGCTGTGCGATGCTCCTTTAGGCGCCTGCTTGGCAGGGCTCCCGTCGAGTCCACGGCCGCCAAAAAGGGACCTCCGCTGAGCGGAAGATCCCAAGTTCGGCACATGGGAGACATGTGGGGGTTTCCATAGGAAACTGCGGGGTACCCCCATGACTTGTGGATAGTGTATATTTCATGGAAAATCCATGGAAAATGGATGATGAAGCTGCGGGGTACCCCCATGACATGGCCGGAAACCTCCATGTCGAGCACTGGATGTCTGTTCAGAGATTCGGATGGAAAGTTACATGGCAATCCATCCAAGCTTTCGGGGACTGGGCAGCTGGCAGTGTCAGTACAATGTGGTCTTTTACTCTGTAGGTCTGGTTTGCCACGTCTTTGCTCTCAGACCGGTGCCCTCTGATGCTGCAAAGTCAGGGGAGCGCATCGTAAGATCTCCAGCTGTTTGCACTTGACGCATTTATTGGATGAGTCACTAGATTCAGGGTAACTTCCAGGCACTACAGAATATCCGGATCCAACAGTGTTGCCAATACTCTCCTCCAAGCTGGGCCTGGCTGGTCTGGTAAAAAATGGCTGGAAGACAAGTCATTGGGTACCCCTTTACCCTTACGAAAGGCATGGTTAGTCTCAAAATGAAGCGCTTCATCTGTGGACCTACCATGCTTCGACTGGGTCGCCCTTGTTTCAAGCTCTTGACACTCCTCTGAGCTGTGCAGTTTTCGGACCATAAGGCACTGGGCTGAGTGGAGCTGCTACAGCAGCTTCTTGCAGATGAATTGGGGCACCTTTTGTATCCGGGGGATATCAAACGCGGCAATGGGAAATCACGTGGAGCATGCGTTTCTTTAATGGACCATAGGTTTCAATACTAAAATGGTCAAATTTCCAGGATTTAGGGGGTACCCCTATTTTGGGAAACCCCCATCTGTATTTGTGCTAAAAAATCACATCTCCCACAGCTTGAGGGTATGCCGTAACGATTGTCCATTGCCAGATCAGAGTACAACTTGTGGTACTTGCATGAGCATCCTCTAAACGGAACTGCCTGAGAGATGATCAATGAATTCAACTCATCGCGGGAGGCTGCCCCGGGAGGCTCATCCAAGTAGGTGCCACAAAGCGCAATTTGAAGAGCTCCCAAAAGCCAAAGCTTCCCGAAGAAAATCGCCATACAAAATCGCTGGACTTTGGCGTTCTGCATCTTTTTGCTGGGCTGTGGCGAATTTTGCGGTTTCTGGCTTTTGGAAACCCCCAGAAGGTGGAATGCCATGCACTGCCGCTTTCTTTGCCACTTGGGCTCAAGTGGGTCAAGCCATTAGAAACGCGGCCATTAGAGACGCGGGCTTTGTGCCTCGGCCTGGGAGATTCTCAGCAAATCCTGTGACTCGATCTATCCAGATGGCCATGATTCAAGATTTCACCTCACCTAAACTTCAAGTTGCTTGACTCAAGTGGTTCATGAAGGTCATGCTCCTGATTTTTGCCAGGCATTTCGAAAGGAAGCAACTCCCAGCTGGAACATTCGGAGGATCATCTCCATGATGATCATCTCCACTAGGCACACGTTCGAACCGCGTTCAAAGATTTATCATTGAACTTATTCTAAAAGCTCAGAGGAACCTGAGAGGTAAAGATCGCGCGCGGGTGGCATCTTGCAATAATTTTCGAGCACTTTCTCGAAGGTCCAAGAAGGGTGCTGCATACCTTCATTTAGGCCACCGTGATTGCCAGATGGTGGCAGCAGAGGCACCAAATGTTCTGGCCATTTGTTTGCAGATACGTAAGCATTCAAACTTTGGTGGTGAAATTATTTGGGGATGCAAAATTTTGGGTTTGTGTTCTGGTTGGCTATCCAATCCAACTCCTTTGGACCCCCAATTTCCGAGGTTCGCGGATTTCGATGGTCGCTATTTTCACGAACCTTCTTGGTTTTTCGTGGGTTCTAGTAATGACCCATACAGCCCATTGTTTGCCGATACCCCATCACAAGGAGCATGAACCTTTTCGCTGCAACCCTGACGTTGCTCCGCGTCTGACTTCAGGTGGCCATGAAGATAAAGTTGATGCTATTACCCCAATCAGCATACTGTTCATAGGGGGCGGCGAATTTTGATCCCTTATGAAGATAAAGATGATATAATTACCCCAATCAGCATATTGCTCATAGGGGGTGGCGAATTTTGATCCCTTATGAACATAAAGTTGATGTTATTACCCCAGTCAACATATTGTTCATAGGGGGTGGCAAGTTTTGATCCCTCATGAAGAAAAAGATGATGTTATTACCCCAATCAACATATTGCCCATAGGGGGTGGCAAATTTTGATCTCGTATGAAGATAAAGATGGTGTAATTACCCCAATCAACATGTTGTTCATAGGGGGTGGCGAATTTTGATCCCTCATGAAGATAAAGTTGATGTTATTACCCCAATCAGCATATTGCTCATAGGGGGTGGCGAATTTTGATCCCTTATGAACATAAAGTTGATGTTATTACCCCAGTCAACATATTGTTCATAGGGGGTGGCAAGTTTTGATCCCTCATGAAGAAAAAGATGATGTTATTACCCCAATCAACATATTGCCCATAGGGGGTGGCAAATTTTGATCTCGTATGAAGATAAAGATGGTGTAATTACCCCAATCAACATGTTGTTCATAGGGGGTGGCGAATTTTGATCCCTCATGAAGATAAAGTTGATGTTATTACGCCAACCAAAATATTGCTCATAGGGGGTGGCAAATTTTGATCCCTTATGAAGATAAAGTTGATGTTTTTACCCCAATCAACATATTGTTCATAGGGGGTGGCAAATTTTGATCCCTTATGAAGATAAAGATGATATAATTACCCCAATCAACAGATTGCTCATAGGGGGTGGCGAATTCTGATCCCTCATGGAGATATAGTTTATGTTATTACCCCAATCAACATACTGTTCAGAGGGGGTTGCGAATTTTGACCCCTCATGAAGATGAAGATGAAGATGATGATGATGATGATGATGGTGATGGTGATGGTGATGGTGATGGTGATGGTGATGATGATCATGATGATCATGATGATCATGATGATCATGATGATCATGATGATCATGATGATCATGATGATCATGATGATCATGATGATCATGATGATCATGATCATGATGATCATGATGATCATGATGATCATGATCATGATGATGATGATTATGATCATGATCATGACGATTGTAAGTGTGGAGCAACGTCCGGGTTGGGGCGAACTTTTTTCAAACATCAGATCAACACGTAAATACGACGGTCAAAGCTGGGAATGGAATGGATTACTTAAAAGCTACCCACAGGATACGTGTCTAACATGGCTGGGAAATCCATAAATCCCATGGTTTTGTTCGATGTTTCTTGGGAAGATCATCGAACTAAATGGGTACATATCCATTATCATGGAGTTGATTACCAGGAGCCAAATTCTCTGCTTTCAACAACATTCTTTAGAAAACAAACTGCAGCCTTCGGGCAAATTGACTCACTTGGTCGAAAATTTAAAGAATGGATGGCAAGTGATGTGTGTTTTTCTTCTAGTTCAACCCGGCAATAAGAAACACAAAAATGATAGATCTAATAGATGATTTACCTTCTGATACTTTTTAGGAGCACGACATGCAGATTGATTAAAGCTGGGCTTGCAAATGGGTCCGTCCAGAATCGCGGTAGTCCCCCCATCCTATGTGTTTTCGCCCAAAATTTATCTCCATCTCCCCCAAGAAAACATGGCTGGTGCAATTTGGGGAGCAACCACCACCACCGACACCACCGGATCATCTGTGTGATCCCAGATCATAGCATCATCCCATATCATATCATCCCAAGCAAACACTGACAAACAACCATAATCCCAAACCATCCAAAAAATCCCATCGTCATCTTCACATCTTCACCTCTGGGTAAAGCTTAATTTACTCATCTGAAATGTTGGTGAAATATTGGTCTATTCTGGGAGACCCAATCCAATTCCCAGGTCTTTTCATCCCAGCAACTCTCATCACAGAAGGTCTTGATCACATCATTCACCGTCAATTCCTCATGATATTTCCCGGACTCCGCTTGCAGACGTTGCAGGCCCTTCTCTGCCATGGATTCGTCTAAGCAAGCCAAGTCGGTCAAGGAGGCGAAGGCCTTCAGATCTACCTAGGAGATGTTTTTTTTTGGGCCGCTGGGGTCACCGATACCCGGAATGATATGGAAATCTGTGGGTTTCCAAGTTTCCGATGGAAAATCTAAAAACTTGACTCGAGTTTTTCCCGGCTGGTTTGATTTTGCGTTGCAGTCTTTCCTCTTTCTCTGAAGATTTTGCAAGGTAAAAATAGGTGAGTTCTGGGTGAGTTCGTCCAGAAAACGTCAACCATTTTTGTTGCCAACGCTCACCAGATACTTCTTCGAGTGGCCGGTTTCGAGCAGGATTCCCAGTGCGGTTGGATTCGGTTCTCATTAGGTCTAATGCCCCTTTCAAGATGATTGAATCTCCGGGGGGAAGGAACTAAATACCCATGCCTACTGCATAGATTCATATGAAATCCCCATGATTGCTGCTTATATCAGATTTTGTCGGCTAAACCCGTATTGCAAAACCATTTGACATCAGGAATCAGATATGCATGGTTTGTTGTCGCCGTTTTGCCTCATGAGCTATGCATTTTTGGTCTTATCGGTATTTGCCACCAAACCCCCAAATGATTCCTGCTTATATCAGCAGTTTTCCATATTCTTCCACTAGACCTTCAAATCAAAACAAAACTTTGCATTTTTTAACTCAAACAAAACTTTCCAGCAACTCACGAAAGTAAATAACACAATAAATCAATAGATGAATTAAAACATTGCACAAAATAACATAACGTACCACAAACATGTGAAAATATGTAAACTAAAGCTAAACAACCAGGTTTATAAATAACACCATTAAAAAACATTATAACTTGAATATACTTAAATAACCAAACCAGGTGACGGATCTGCATCCGATCTCGCAAGCCCATGCTTCCACCCGATCTTGGGTCTCTGCAAAGGGCGCGAGAAGGAGAATTTCCAAGACCTGCTGAAAAAACGGCTATTTTTCATAGGAATCTCGTGGGAAAATCATGGTAAACTGATAGGAACTGATGTAACTCACCAAGAATTTTCACTGATATCATGGAAAAAGAATGGAAAAACAATAAAAGCCAGGTTGATGAGTTACTTCATGGCGATTTAAGCCCCATGTTATGGGGTGCATTTCCATGAAATATGGAGATCAAAATCTAGAAATTCTGGTTGGGTGATTATCATGTATGGGGATGTAACAGGGATATACAAGCAACAGTATTATCAAAAGAAAGATCATTTTGGTGTGCCTGAAAGTGGACTGTACCGCAATTATGTGGCCACTGAAGACTGGGAAATGGTGTCTTTTAAATGAATTTTGGGGCACCCCATTTCCAGGTCTCCAGGGCACTTAAGCAGTTTCAAACACTGACCTTTTGGTTGTTAAAAAAAAAGACAGTTGATGGTGTTACTAAAATGTTCTAACGACTTGGATGGGGATCTATTTATAAAAAATAAAAATAAAAAACTTCATCAAAATCCTACCAGTTCAGCAGTTCATGTTGGTTGTTTTTTCCATTCTTCCTAGACTTCGAATGTCCACACCCCCGCTGAGCTACTAATCAGGCCTATCGATGTTCGCTCACTCATCTGTGTATGGATACATGTGCCATGGTCAAAACATGGCATATGGGTTTCCAGGTCATTCCACCATTGTTGGGAATCCTTTCAATTTCCAGAAATAAATCCCGTTGAATGGAAACGATTTGGCCCCAAGACCTCGATGTTGGAAGAAAGAATGGCCCCAAGGACTAAGGGAGAATCTGACTTACCATTGGTAAACAGTAAACCAATGTTTTTAAGTAAAGTATGTTTGTTGCTGTAACGACAACAAACAGACTTTGTCCTTAGAAGATAGTACAACTCTTCACCATTACTCGTAAGATGTGGTAGCGGTGGGTCAAAAGTTGGTCAACCGCCATCCCAAGAGAACGATGATTGATGGTACCAAAACAAGCAAAACCAACAGACATAAAATATACAAACCTTTTCTAATATATTAGATAATAACTAACTAACCTAACCGTGTTTTATGGTTCCCCATTTTGGGAAACCCAAAAAAATGCGTGTGTGTGAGCGAGCGAGCGACCGAGCGAGGGAGGGAGTGAGTGAGTGAGTGAGTGAGGGAGGGAGGGGAGTGAGTGAGTGAGTGAGCACCACCTCCCTTGGGCAAAAAAAAATAGATCGTTGTTCTCGAAAAACAATTGAGTTTGAACCCTCGTTGGCAAATTTCGTGAACTTGAATGCAAGTGAAAAAACACAGGAAACGTTGAGATGTCCTGGTAAACACAAATAATAAACCCGCCATACCCCATTAGACCAATTCTACCATTAGGGTGATATCAAAATCCCCAAAACATGGTGCTGATTGCTGGAACACTTGCATTTTCTACTTGGGGGTGCAGTCCCAGTGAGAAAGGTGGATCTATAACATGATATAACCATAGTTATAGGTCCATCTATAAAATATTATATATCCATTATATACCCATTTAACATAACCATTTAACATAACCATCTATAACAATTTAACATAAATCATCTATATAACATAATCATTTATAACCATCTATAGAAGTGGATCTATAACCAGTTACATCTCCAAATGTTCCTGGTGAAATTGCCATGGATTTGACAAATCCTCACCTCGGTCTGCATGAACACCGCCCAACTGGACTCTGCGGCATGCGTAAAGACCTTGGAGGAAACAGCACTGTCAAAAGAGATCAGTTGGGATAACTTCTAACCATCTACAACCATTATATAACCATCTATAGCCAGAAACTGGGACACTGAAAAGGGACACAAAAAAGGACACCTATGGGTTATGAATTGAAAAAAACAGTTGTTTGTATATAGACTGCCTATTGAAAGTAGTGATTTTCAGTTGCCCGGTCGCATTACCAGAGGGTATCTCTCCATTGGTGAAATCCTCGAAATGCTCCTTCAAACGACCATGTTTTGCCAGTTTTTGACTGTGAACTGCCACAGCACCAGGAAAAAAAACACACAATATACCTAATAATATGTTTATATACAAAGTGTATATACATTGCACATATATATATATATATATACATATTATATATACATATATATATATACATATATATATGTATATATATACACACACACGCATACACCTTCCAGATGTATATACATGACGTGGTCCCTGGCCCTACCCCAATGGTATTCCTCCAAGACACGTGCGGACCAACCACCTCGCGGAAGGTCACGGACATGGCATGCCTGGAATTTCCAGAGGAATATCCTGGGAATATCATTGGGAACATACAGACCATTGGGAACATATTGGGACTATATCTCATTATTGGGAATATAAATCGGAACCTCATATTTTTGCGTTTTTCTATCTCTTTTGGGAATATCATATGACAGGATATATAATAAATTCCAAGAAAGTAGAAAAATTAGCTAAATCACTATTTTAGTGTGGTTTTACTTTCTACTTTTTTGGGGTTGTTATAACTCACCAACAATTTTGAGTGATCGTGGAAAACCAGCAAACTGAATGGCGATTTAAGCATCGTTTTATGGGGCCAAATGCCATGAAATATGGAGATAGAATCCAAAAACTGTGGCTGGTTGATGATCATTGCCGCTGCCTATGTTATTGAAATATAAGGGGGATAAAATGGGGATGTAATGGAAATACAAGATAAACTTTTTTATGGTGTTTTATGGGGATACATGTAGTAGAAATGCACAACCAACAGTGTGAGAAAAAAAGAGAAACCAATGAACCCGAATGCAGGCACGTAAAACATTTTTGTGAAATAAATTATTTCAACCGTTTTGTACATTTTTCCCCTACTACCGTACCAGTGTAGACTGTGGAGTGCGACATGGGCTGGGGTGCAGAGTATGGAGTGTGAAGACAGTGAAGACAATGGAGTGTTGAGTGGGGGGTTTAATGTGTAGGCTATGAAGTGGGGATTGTGGAGTGCGAAGTGCCGAGTGTAAAGTGTGGAGTGTAGAGTGTGGAGAGTGGAGCGCAATGTAAAGTGTAAAGTGTGGAGTGCAAAGTGTAGAGTTTGGAGTGTAAAGTGTAGAGTGTGGAGTGCAAAGTGTAAAGTGTAAAGTGTAGAGTGTAGAGTGTAGAGTGCGGGGTGTCAAGTGTAAAAGTGTGAAGTGTAGAGTCGGAGTGTGGAGTGTAAACTGCAGAGTGTGGAGTGTCAAGTGTGAAGTGTAAAGTCCAGAGTGTCCCAAATACCGCGCCTGCCAAGCAAAACGACGGATCTTCACCACGCAAACTGACACTCACCATGCCCCACGCCTGCCACGCGATTTGCACGTTGTCATCACCTGACACAGCCCTGACAATGCGATGTGCCAAAAACACGCAGCACGACACGTCTAAAGTGCTGCGCCTGCCGCGCAAAATGAAGATGGACAGGTCCAAAGTGCTGTGCCTGTCACGAAAAATGCAAGTCGTCTTCTGAAAGCCTTGCAAAAGTATTGCGCATGTCACACAAAACGACTTTCGACTGTTTTTCAGACACATGAGAATGTCATGAAGTGCCACGCCTGCCACGCAAAACGAGATAAGAACCGCTTTTGAAACCTTCGGTAATGAAAGGTGTTGCAGCTTACCCCATATCGACACGGCGCCGGCAGGAGAAAACCAGAGAATCGAGACGAGACATGTTGGAGCCTCAAAACGAGCATTTCTTGCGAGACTTCCTCCAACTTTCAGACTTTGTAGCTTCAAAATCGGCGTTTTCCGACGAGTTTTCTCATGAACGTGAAAATGTTCTACCTCAAAATCGATGTTTCGCGCGTCAATTTTCAGCACGTGTCACAAAATGCCACCCCTGCCATGGAATTTGCACGTTGTCACCACTTGACGCAGCCCTGCCAATGCGATTCGCAAGAAACACGCAACACGACACGTCTGAAGTGCTGCGCCTGCCACACAAAATGACGATGGATGTCTCCAAAGTGCTGCGCCTGCCATGAAAAAGGCAAGTCATCTTCTGAAAACGATGCGACAGTACGCGCCTGTTACACAGAACGACTTTTGACACGTTATGAAACATGCTGGCTGGAATGGCACAAAGTGCGACACGTGCCACACGAAACGAGGTTACGCGACGTTTGAAACCTCCAAAAGTGACCACTTTTGCAGCACTCCCCATATAGGCACGGCCATAGCGACCTCATCGCGAACGGTTGCCAACGGTTGCACACGGTTGCGAAGACAAAAGCAGCGTCGAGCGAACATGACCCAACCCTCAGAACCCCAAAGTAAAACGAGAACCCTTCCCCACTGGTTTGGGAAAAAATCAGCTAATCATCTAAAAATGTGGATTTACTGGGATCACATGGGATATATATATATATATAAATACATTATTTGACAATATATTATATACATAGATAATTATATAATATATAACTCATATACCTCAAAATAACTGGCAAGTTTCATGAATTTGGCGTGTGGTACATGAAAATGGGTGGATGGGCAGCGTAATTTACTGCCATTTCATTGAGAAATGGGATTTGGGAACACTATATTTTCCACCCTGTCTTTTTTGTTTTATTTCCGGGAATATGGTAAGGATGAGGTGTTGCTGGTTTCTCATGATTTTTGGGACCTGTGAAATCCCTCCAAAGATGGCGGGGGAATGGGATACGCCCAAAAACAACTGTCAAAAGTTGCTTTTTGATTCCACTCTCCATGTTCTAGGTCTATTCACCTATTTGTCTGTCGGTCCATGAATGTACTCATATTTCTAGCTATCTTGTCATGCATCTTGGCGCATGACTGTCTATTTCTCTTTACATTTGCTTACAAGGCTGCTGCGTGTACAAGTTCAACAGTAGAATGTAGCCTAGCAGGATCTAGCAGGTATATTTACACGGAAAATCTGTTCTAGAGTGTCGCTTTCAATATCTTTCTGGGAATTCGATCTTCAGAAGTCAGTTGGCATAAAGCAAAAGGCGAAGCAACGATTCTTTTTCTGTTTTGGCAGGACTGGGTATCGTCAAAGGGTTCAAACGAGTTCAGCGCTGACAATTCAGTCCGAGCATTCGATCACCAAAAGAGACACAAATCCTAAGAAGCTGGTCCAACCCAGAAAGGCACCGGCACACCACCAAAACGGAACAGTGGAGCCGTTGCCCGAAGGCAGTGTCATGATCTCCACGGAGCAGTACGCAGCGAGAAGGGTCTGATAAATTGCCAAAGCCAAGACGATCCAGAAGGGGAGTCGAGTGTTGTTGGGGGCAACAAATGACGACACCATTATCTCCATGCCGAAAGTTCCCCAGAGCCATATCGTAATCAACCAGTTCAAGCAGCCAACGCAGGGCTCTTTAGCCCAGAGATCTTCCAGATTCTGGGCGTCGTTGTGGAACTCAAGCTCCGCTGGCAGGAGGAAAGATCGTGCAAGAAGAAGGCGATTGGTGCAGAGCAGGTTGAAAAAGACCACGACGGTGCTGATCAGGTAGAGGGCGTAGAGGACCATGAAAGAAATCCGAAGCATCTCGGTGGATCCATCACACTCGAGCCAACCCCAGTAGAGCACCAGGATGCAAGGCAACAAATGGATACACACCAAACGCATCAGGACATGCAGAATCCCCCAGTGCACATCACCAATTTTGTGTCGCAAACATAGATGTTTGAAGGGTTGCCCCCTGACCTTGTTTTTTTCGTCTTCTGTAAGCCGGTTCCATGGTTTCTTCAAAAACTCTTCCGGCTCAAGCTCTGCGGAACATGGAGCAAACAGTTTCTTCACTACCTTTGCCCCCACAGAACCCAGAATCATGAATAAGAACCTATTGGATAGGAAGGAACCACGCATGTCTCGGAAGTGTTCGTTGTTGGGAAACAAGAGGAAGTCCAATAGCGTCTTAAGGCGGTCCGCCATGGCTTTCAGGGCACGTCAAAGCTTGGATGCAAAGAAATAGCAAATAGGTCACCATGTTCAAGGTTTTATGATGTTTTAAGATCGAACATCACTTTTTGAAGGTTTGAATTCCATAAAGTTGATGCGTTTATGGCAGCAGTTTGCCACATGAATCTTAAATCACTGTTTCAATCATGACGTGATCTCCGACTTCTGAAACCTGGCAAAAGTGGCCCGTTTCCTGCAAAGTTGCGACATCAATCCGCAGCTGGGGTCCAAACTCTGGCTAAGCGCTTGCACCCACCCCCACACACCACTATTTTCCCTGCAAGGCATCATCACTATCATTACCATTATCATGCCACACATAAGCCACAATGCCACATAGTTCTTCAGGATGTTTTAAACAGCTAACAGGATACAGGAAACAACTTCTTCCCGCCAAATTCTCCAACTCCAACCGTTGAAGCCACATTGTGCCCGTTCCCAGGTCCAGGCGAGGTGCTGGAAAGCAAGCATATGTCGAGGAACGACTCCTCGATCCCAGTGGATGTTGGCGATTCCTCGTATCCTCTGCCGAGCTTTCAGGATCTCCCCCGCGTCGAGGTCGTCCTCAGCCGAGACTAAAGGCTCCTGTCATTTTTTGGGGCAGCTTCCGATGTTCAGAACATTTACTTATTATTGTGTTTCTATGTATACACATATACATATGTATATATATACATATGTATATATATATACATATGTGTATATATATATATACAAATATGTGTACATATACAAATACACATTTGGATGGATGCATGCATGCATGCATGGATGGATGGATGTATGGATAGATGGATGGATGGATGTATTCATGGATGTATGGATGGATGGATGTATGGATGGATGGATGTATGGATGTATGGATAGATGGATGGATGGATGTACGGATGGATGGATGTATGGATGTATGCATGTATGCATGTATGAATGTATGCATGTATGCATGTATGCATGTATGGATGTATGGATGCATGGATATATGGATGTATGTATGGATGCATGGATATGTGGATGTATGGGTGTATGGATGTATGCATGTATGCATGTATGCATGTATGGATGTATGGATGTATGGATATATGGATGTATGGATTTATGCATGCATGCATGGATGTTTGCATGCATGCACGGGATGGATGGATGCATGCCTGGATGGATGGATGTACGTACGTCGTACGTACCTACGTAGCTACGTACCTAATACGTACCTAATACGTACGTACGTATGTCAGTATGTGTGTCTGTAGGTCTGTAGGTCTGTAGGTCTGTGTGTCTGTCTGTAGGTCTGTCTGTCTGTATGTCTGTCTGTCTGTATGTACGTACGTATGTACGTACAAATGTATGTACACACACTTTATTTATATATATATATTCACAAATAAATAAATATGTGTCATAGTGGAGACCAGGCAGTGCAGTACCATGGGGGGAGGTCCTGAGACATTCCGACACTTCTTCTTCCACAGGCATCAAACATGGCTCAAGTCATTTCTGTATCTCCATTTTTGTAGGTTCAGTCAGCCCTAAACCACGACCAAATTTCCTACCCCACGACCAAATTTCCTTTGCGGCCCAAATTTTAAGTCTTTGATGCTGAAGTAATCTTAACAAGTCGACTCCAATGACCCAAAATCATCCCAAAATCCAAAGCTGTCCCCAAATCACCATCACCAAACATTTCATTTGGATCCAATGATACTCTATTGTAGTGCATGGTTAAGATCCACCAAGGAGCTGCCACGGCCACCAGGAAACCTAAAAGCATCGCCAGGTGCTGGCGCTCGTGCTCCGGGTCCCGGAACAACTTGTTCCAATCCCAGAAGCCACCCACCACATGGTGCAGGTTATGGACCAAGCTCTGAATGCACGTGGGCTGCTTCCTCAAATGTTGAAACAATCAAGGACTACAAGGACTAGGACTGAAGAAATGGTTTCGGAGTTGCGCTGCACTTTGAAGCGCTGAAAAACAATACCAAGGATATTCCAATTCTACGTGTATGCATGTATATACATTTTTGTGTGTGTGTGTGTCCGCGCGAGTGTTCCCGGTTCCCAGTTCGGTGGCCCCCCTCCCAATGGTATGGTACCCCCCCTCCCTCCCAAAACATTTGCATGGTATTTGCAGCATTTGAGAGTCACAGCCTCCCATTTGCATGCTATGTGCAGCATTTCAGAGCCACAACCTTCGACTTGCACCCTTTTTGCAGCAGTTGAAAGCCATATGCTACGACCTACGTGCTGTCCCTGTGGTAACGTATTTAGTATCTATATGTTTCTTTTCTACCGTGTATACCTATATACAAGCCATAACGTATCTATATACTATTCATCAGTTGCCTATGATTGGTGTATTAGCTGTATTATACCCATACATAGAATCTACATACTACTTATAGCGTAGTTTTATACCACGTACGTTTTATTCTACATGTATATTTATATATATATATATACACATATATCATATATACACTGTTCTCTATACTCATATGCAGCATTGAAAACCTCCAGAACCCCCACCTCCCACCACAGAGGGGAGAAGGCAACCACACACACTATCTAATCCACCGTACTGATATTGTACTACCTAAAAACTATATAGCAGCGACCCCCAAGCTACAAACATACTTTTATGTATTATATATATATATGATTATATCTATCATGTGTAGTTCTACAATTGCGTGTAGATAGATAGATAGATAGATAGATAAATAGATAGATAGATAGATAGATAGCCAGATAGATAGCCAGATAGATAGATAGATAGATAGATAGATATGCAAATAGCCTGCATTCCAGATGTATGGATGTATGTACGGATGTATGTATGTATGGATGTATGTACGGATGTATGTATGTATGGATGTATGTACGGACGTATGTATGTATGGATGTATGTACGGATGTATGTATGTATGGAGGTATGTATGTATGTATGGATGTATGTACGGATGTATGTATGTATGGATGTATGTATGGATGTACGGATGTATGGATGTATGTACGGATGTATGGGTGTATGGATGTATGTATGTATGCTTTGATGTATGGATGTATGTACGCGTGTGTGGATGTATGGATGTATGGATGTATGGATGTATGTATGTATGTATGGATGTATGTACGGATGTATGGATGTATGGATGTATGTACGGATGTATGGATGTATTGATGTATGGATGTATGGATGTATGGATGTATGTATGGATGCATGCATATATGTATGTGCGCAGTGATAAGATCTGAAGGGGAAGTCGAAAGGATCGCAAAAAACAAGTTGCTTTATGCAAGTTCATGATTTCCAAAATATGGATGTAGCCAACCTGAAATCGTCCGGGTGAAGGACCCACATGAAAGTGGGAATATTACATGTATGCATGTATATATATATATACATTACGCATGTACATATAATATGTATATAAACATTAACGTGTCTCTCTCTCTCTCTCTTTCTCTATGTATGTATGCGTGAGGGAGGCTTTTACCATAGGTATGAACCATTTGCCGACCAGGATACACATCAAACTGCGTAGTCACTTGCAACGCTCAATTTGAATCCAAGAAAAAGCACAAACATACTTCTAGAGATCCTTCCATGAGAAACGGTCCGTCCTTCGACAGGCAAAAAAAAACGCCGAAACCTTGATCAGGTTTCTTGGTCTCCACTAGCAAATCCTTGACAGCACGGTAAACTGCTGGTCGTTCACCATCCAAATCTACCAGGCCTGGAAAATTCAGGGCTGAAAAGGTAACCAATCCTCGTGGTTTTCTGGGCAAATCGTATAAGTGTAAAAATCCGCCGACCCCCTGCCGGTGCGGGGGGAGCGCGCCAAGAAGGAAGTTGCGGTGAGGAAGCACGATGTGAATGGCCCAGCAGTGGGCATCCGGTTCAAAGAGCGATGCTTGGCAGTGCCGAAATCCTGTGCGATTTCCTTCCCTGGCACGCTGTTGTGGCGCAGCGGAGGGCCCCCGTTTTTCCTTCCCTGGCAGGCTGTTTTGGCGCAGGGAAGGCGGGCCATTTTGGCCAGAATTCCTAATCCTTTATGCCTTTGTTTTTCTTGCATTCAGAAAGCAACGTTAGGCACGGGAGAGATCCTGGCAAGCTGTTTTCGTGCAGAAAAGGCGTGCCATTTTGGCCACTAGCCCAGGATTCCTAAGCCTTTATGCTTGTTTTTCTTCCGTTCAAGATCCTGTGGGAGGGCCCCGTTTTTCCTTCACTGGCAAGCTGTTTTGGCGAAGCGAAGGCGGGCCATTTTGGCCACCAGCCCAAAATTTCTAAGCCTTTATGCTTCTATTTTTCTTCCATGTTGGGCACGGGAGAGATCCTGTGGGAGGGCCCCGTTTTCCTTCCCTGGCAAGCTGTTTTGGCGCAGCGAAGGCGGGCCATTCCCGGTTTTTTCCTGGAAAGCTGTTTTGGCGCAGCGAAGGCGGGCCATTTTGGCCGCGTGCCCAGGATTCCTAATCCTTTATATATGCTTTTATGTTTCTTCCGTTCAGAAAGCAACTTTAGGCACGGGAGAGATCCTGTGGGGGGGCGCTGCTTTGGCACAGCGAAGGCAGGCCACTTTGTCCACCAGCCCAAGATTTCGAAGCATGTATGCCTTTATTTTTTCTTCCGTTCAGAAGTCAGGCACGGGAGAGATCCTGTGGGAAGGCCCCGTTTTTCCTTCCCTGGTAAGCTGTTTCGGCGAAGCGAAGGCGGGCCATTTTGGCCACCAGCCCAGGATTCCTAAGCCTTTATGCCTTTGCTTTTTTTTGCGTTCAGAAAGCAATGTTAGGCACGGGAGAGATCCTGTGGAGGACTCCGTTTTTCCTTCCCTGGCAAGCTGTTTTGGCGCAGCGAAGGCGGGCCATTTTGGCCACCAGCCCAAGATTTCTAAGCCTTTATGCTTCTATGTTTCTTCCGTTCAGAAAGCAACGTTAGGCACGGGAGAGATCCTGTGGGAGGTCCCCGTTTTTCCTTCCCTGGCCATATCTAGCCCCCCTTGTACGTGTAGGGGGGTCGGCGGCACCAGGGCGGTAGCCCCATTATAAATCACAAACAACTGAGCAATGTTCAAAAACCCTTTGTCATTCCATGACATGGGCTTTTTTTATGGGATTTCCCCACGATGGATGATGATGACCTTGAATGTACTGGCTAGTACAATGCACATACAATCATCAACCAACAGGGATCTGGTTATCACCTTCCAATCTAGGCCTTGAACAAGATCCAAACATCAGCAAACATCAGCAAAATGTCCAAATAGAGGAAATGCTTATATGTCACAAGCGTCAAATGAATTCTGTTATTGAAGACGATTCAAATGGTTTACAGTACCTTTAGCAAAATGAACCATTCTGAAGCACAAAGAGGTCATTGCAGTTTGCCCATGTATCGCAATCTGGCTACAATAGAATTTATTCAAAAGGCGCAAAATGAACCCATCACTGTATATCATCTAAATGGTTCCAAGCCAGGCATATTGCTTACTCACCAATGATGATTTCTGGCAAAATCATCCACGAAGGCCTTCGGTCGCTTTAAACCGGTAGCCATTAAAATGATCAGCAATGCTTGGACCTTTTCACAGGAAAATTGACCAGGGATACTTAGTAGTAGGTGTGAGTTTGTCTCAAAATAAGGTACACATTAATCATCTTGTTTCCCCCTTCAAACTGCTATACTTTGTGAATTTACCCATGTTCAACGAGAAAATACCCATGGTGTTCCTATTTTCCCCAATGGATTGTCATAACCCCTCCCGGACAGCTTGTTGTACCTCATAACCCCACCACTTTCACGGGCGCCTTGCAGAAAGGGCGCCACCACGAAGTGGCTCCAGACCACCGACCAGCTGATCTCCGCTTGCAGCGACAATCCGTTGAGGTTTTGGCACAAGGTCTGCAGTAGAGCGATCTGGAAGACACAGACGTAGGATGGTTGGATCCCATAGGACCTGCGGACGATGAGAAAAGATGACTGGGGGGTTACCTGATTTCTGGGGGATTTCATGGTGATGCCAAGGAACGTCGAGGTATATATATATATATGCGTGTGTGTGTGTGTAATATACGTATTTAAATATACATACATGCATTACATTACTAACAATACATTACCATACATTACAATACATTACAGTACATTACAGTACATTAGAATACATTACAACAAATTACAATACATTACAATACATTACGACACATTACAATTCATTCCAATACATTGCAATACATTGCAACACATTACAATACATTACAATACACTACAATACATTGCAACACATTACAATACATCACAGTACATTACATTACATACATACGTACATGCATCAAATTCATACATACATACTTACTTAATTGCATTGCATTACATTACGCTGCATTACATTACATTACATTATCAAATCATATCAAGTCATATCATATCATCCATGTGTATATATATATATTTATAATACCTTTGCAAGTGTAAAGTCATGCGGCCCAAGGCACCCAGAGTGGGAGACAAGTGCGGGAGACAAGGGGGAGACAAGTGTAAACTCATGCGGCCCAAGGCACCCAAGTGTGAGGGACAAGTGGGAGACAAGTGTAAACTCATGCAGCCCAAAGAACCCAGAGTGGGAGACAAGGGGGAGACAAGTGTAAACTCATGCGGCCCAAGGCACCCAGAGTGAGAGACAAGTGTGGGAGACAAGTGTAAACTCATGCAGCCCAAAGAACCCAGAGTGGGAGACAAGGGGGAGACAAGTGTAAACTCATGCGGCCCAAGGCACCCAGAGTGAGAGACAAGTGTGGGAGACAAGGGGGAGACAAGTGTAAACTCACGCGGCCCAAGGAACCCAGAGTGGGAGACAAGTGTGGGAGACAAGTGTGGGAGACAAGTGGGAGACAAGTGTAAACTCATGCGCTCCAAGACACCCAGAGTGGGAGACAAGTGTGGGAGACAAGTGGAAGACAAGTGTAAACTCATGCGGCCCAAGGCACCCAGAGTGGGAGAGGGAGGCAAGTGTAAACTCATGCGGCCCAAGGAACCCAGAGTGGGAGACAAGTGTGGGAAACAAGTGTGGGAGACAAGTGTGGGAGACAAGTGGACAACAAGTGTAAACTCATGCGGCCCCAGGAACTCAGAGTGGGAGACAAGTGTGGGAAACAGGTGTGGGAGACAAGTGTGGGAGACAAGTGTAAAATCATGCGCTCCAAGACACCCAGAGCGGGAGACAAGTGTGGAAGACAAGTGGAAGACAAGTGTAGACTCATGCGGCCCAAGGCACCCAAGTGTGAGGGACAAGTGGGAGACAAGTGTAAATCATGCGGCCCAAGGCACCCAGAGTGGGAGACAAGTGCGGGAGACAAGTGGGAGACAATTGTAAACTCATGCGGCCCAAGGCACCCAGAGTGAGAGACAAGTGGGAGACAAGGGGGAGACAAGTGTAAACTCATGCAGCCCAAAGAACCCAGAGTGGGAGACAAGGGGGAGACAAGTGTAAACTCATGCGGCCCAAGGCACCCAGAGTGAGAGACAAGTGTGGGAGACAAGGGGGAGACAAGTGTAAACTCATGCAGCCCAAAGAACCCAGAGTGGGAGACAAAGGGGAAACAAGTGTAAACTCATGCGGCCCAAGGCACCCAGAGTGAGAGACAAGTGTGGGAGACAAGTGGGAGACAAATGAAAGACAAAGGGGAGACAAGTGAGGGAAATCATGCGACCAACCGGCCCCAGAGTGGGAGACAAGTGGAAGACAAATGAAAGACAAATGGGAGACAAGTGAAGGAAATCATGCGACCAACCGGACCCAGAGTGGGAGACAAGTGGAAACAAATGAAAGACCAATGGAAGACAAGTGAAGGAAATCATGCGACCAACACGACCCAGAGTGGGAGACAAGTGGGAGACAAATGAAAGACAAATGGGAGACAAGTGAAGGAAATCATGCGACCAACCGGACCCAGAGTGGGAGACAAGTGGAAACAAATGAAAGACCAATGGAAGACAAGTGAAGGAAATCATGCGACCAACACGACCCAGAGTGGGAGCCAAGTGGGAGACAAATGAAAGACAAATGGGAGACAGACAAGTGAAGGAGATCATGCGACCAACCAGACCCAGAGTGGGAGACAAGTGGGAGACAAATGAAAGACAAGTGTAGGAAATCATGCGACCAACCGGACCCAACACTCTGAGGACGCAAGCCCGGAGACACAGTCAAAATCATACGACCAAGGCTAAGGAGTAAGAACCCCATACAGGTAAACCTGTTTGGGGAAAAACCATCTATTCCATACATTCCATCATTTCGCCCTTTTCGATCCATGAATCAACCGCCCGGCCATCGCCTATGTCTCAACCCTAGGGAGATCATATCTCGCTCCACCTTTCGGAAGTCTCGTTCTTCCAGCCAACAGAGTGCCACCTGCAGTGGGGATCCAATTGGGTATATAAAATCCACATGTTTTGTGGACATACAAAAAAGAGGAGAGACTCTAGGGTGTGCTAAATTCAAGCGGATGTTCGAAAGTGTGCATGATTGGAGCATGTTGTCTATACGTAATATAACCAATAAAGAATGGAAAGATGACAGCTAGCTGATTGCAACAGGTGGTGCGTCTCAACCGCTAAGCGCCATTAAATGATACTGTTCGGTCAAGATCGGAATTCCACTGAAGGTGATCATCCTTTGGATAGAAACTGACCTTCCATGGTTGGCTCTGGTAGTATCACCGGCGATGGGGATATTGACCGACTTTCAGAGGATTTAACATTTTGATATGACTTTCAAACAAAGTAACAAGCTAAACAACACCCAAGCCCAAATGAACAGTGTTCAAAACCCGAAAGGTCATTCCATGAAATAATTACTTGTTCTTTAAGATAGGGATTCCTATGGATTTTAATTTTATCCTCAATGTACTGAAGGTAGGTTCATAGCCCCCTTTAAATTCATCATAAACCAACAAGGGATGAACGCAGCCACTGCTGACCTGAATGAATGCTGCAAAGAGAAGGGACTGGGTCCGCATCCTTTCTCGTCTGAATAGTTTTTCCAGCGAGGCATCTTGCACCAGACTTCGGTACATGCACTCCCCAAAGTCTTCTATCTTCATTCGCCGCCACTGACTAAACACGGTACCAAACATGCCTGAGTGTCATTCATTGGATCAAGTTGAAACATTGATAGGCAACCATCGCTTTCCCCAGTAAATACTACAAGGCAATGGAAAGGTATGGAAAGTAGAAACATCAGCAGATACCACTCAGATACTGTCTAAAGAGCTATAGCCTGAAACGTGATTGAACGCTTCCTGACAGAATTTTGCGAGCAAGACCGTGTGGGAAGCGTCTGGATGTTCTGCAAAGATGTCCATCAAGCAGGTCCGGAAATTGTGCAGAGACACTTTGCCGGTGTGATCCACGTCTAAACGATTGAAGCCAGCAAAGATATGACCTCGTTGCTGGTTGATGACCCAGGTCATCAAAAAGGACGCATGTGCGATCAATACTTGTGTATACAATATGTGTAGATATATATACTATAAATATATATATACATAAAATATATATGTGTGTGTGATATAATATAATATAATATAACATAATATAATATAATATAATATGATATAATATAATATCATATGATATGATATGATATGATGTGGTATAATATAATATAATATCATATCATATCATATCATATAATATAATAAAATATAATATATAATAATACAATACAATATATTTTATAATAATATAATATAATATAATATAATACAATATAAAATATTTTATAATAATATAATATAATATAATATAATATAATAATATAATATAATATAATAATATAATATAATATAATTTAATAAAATATAATATAATATAATATATAATAAGATAATATAATATAATTTATAATAAAATATAATATAATAATATATAATATAATATAATACGATATAATATAATATAATATAATATAATATAATATATAATAAGATAATATAATATAATATAATATAACATAATATAACATAATATAATATAATATAACATAATATAATATAATATATACATATACAGACATATATATATATACATATATATATATACATATTATATATATATGGTCGTATATATACATAATATATATTTGTATACATAATATGAAATTATATATATATGTATATATGATCATATATTTATAGAAAAGAATAACAATTTGACAGATATACTTCGATATTTTGAATCATCATCTGGACCGTGCAAAAATAGATCTTTAGTGGAGAAAAAGGAATTTGCAAAAACGGCTGCTAGTAGAAGATTTCCTCCAACCGTGTTTATTCCAGTTCAAAATCCGCCGGCCTTTCGGCGTGTCTTGTGGATCTTGCTTGTTCGTAGTTGTACTTTCTGCCTTGTCTTTTGTCCTTGTCTAGACTTTCCCCTTAGCGCGGATTTTTGCCTCGTCTAACTTGAACCCACCTCCCCCCTCCTCCCCCGGACCCCGCGAACCCCGCGAACCCCGCAAGCCGCGCGAACCTCGCGAACTCCGCGCACCCCGCGAACCGCGCGAACCCCGCGAACCCTGCGAACCCCGCGAACCCCGCGTGCCTCTCTGTATGAATGCATGCCTGTATGTGTTTTTCAATGTATGTATCTATGCATGTATGCATTTAGTATGTAATTATGTATGATTATGTATGTTATGTTATGTTCTGTTATGTTATGTAACGTAACGTAAGGTAATGTAATTTTTTGTATGTATGTACATACATACACGTGTATTTTCATCAATGTATTATAAGCATTTATAAACATAATACTTGTACATGCATGTTTCATCGAGTGCTCTATTTCTTCACAAGCGGAGCCGTCACATAGAACGGAACATTCCAAGCCACCTCTTCCCCCCCCTCTCCCGCCCCTCACCCCGGTCCTCCCCCTTGGCGTAGCTCTTCTCGTCTTCGTCGTCATCTTCCTCTTTGTGGTTTTCGTCTTCATTTTTCGTCACAATGTGCTGGGCTCAACTCTACCCACGCCTCGCTCAACATGCGTTATTTCCATTTTGTGTTCCGCCTTTGTTGCTTTGTTTGCTGTCGGTTTGCTCCGTCGTTTCTTATATCAACTACTTGATATAGGTGGCCTGCCCATGCACTGGCTTTTGTGTAGAACACGTTTTACATGTGTAACCGTTCTATACATGGCCTTTTCCAAAACCCTGGCTTACACACTCATGCTTTGGTTTAGACTTGGTTTACACAAAAACAATGTTTTGCGTAAAAGCCGCTGTTTTACACAAAAACCATGTTTTACACAAACACCATGTTTTATACACAAACCATGTTCTTGCTGGGCCTGCACAATCGCTGTTTGCAGATTGCAGTATAGTTCTTTCATGTTCTTTCCATATTGGCCGGCGGAACACGCCGAAGGCGGTTAAATTATATGAGTTAAATGGCGACCATACCCCCCCACCTTCTTGCTCAATTCGGGACATGAATTCTTTCTGGGGATCCTCCTTATTCCTATCAACTTTCTATGTTTAATCCGTTCATCTGGGGTCGACATGTGGGCTTGTCTGAAAACTTAGGGCAACACCGGCAACACCCCAATATGTGATGGTTAATCATTATGTTCCCATTACAATGACCATAAATTGTTGTATCCCCCATTTTCAGACAGACCCAAAAATCACATGTTGATGATATGTTTCCAATGGCGTCCCCACAAAATTGTTGGTTTTATACCCCATATATCCGTAAAGCCTAGCCATAAATCCCTGTTGAGGTTGGGCCTCATCATATCTTGTTGGTTACCCTGCGGTAATCAACATGGCAACTGAAAATCCACCATTTAGTTTAGTTCAATTGTTTTCCCACTGAAAAACCAGCCACGGTTGATTACCAGGAATTACCCTCCGGCAATTTAACTTAGCTATGGAAAATTGATGAAAATTGCCCCTTTACGGATGATTTACCTATTGAACATGGTGATTTTCCATAGCTATGTTAAATTATCAAAGGGTACATAGTTATATTATCAAACCAATCTCCCAGGCACTCTCTGAAATGCCAATTTCCTGCAAGGCCAGGCGGAAATCTGCATACACTATACAGGAGGGATCGGTGGTCGCCAGCTTTGCAAAGCTGGTGTCCAGCTGGTCCATGCAGTATTCGTAGTGACACCGAAGGTACATGAAAGCATTCCTGGAACAGGAGAAAAGCATGAAAACCATAGAGCTATTTCACAGGAATATCTTAGCATATATATATATACTTGGAGACACATAAAAATGGGGTGCTGAACCACGCACTAAAAATGGGGACATAATAGGAAAATAATCATAATGGAATAATTGAGGCTTCAACAGCCAGAGGCTGATGTTTTCACCATGAAAATTCATGTGGATATTTTTTGGTTTGATAAATATATAACTAACCAACTATGTTGATCAAGCATTCTGGGGGCGAGGCCAGAAATATTTGTGGTGATATTTTAACCAAAGATAACTATTGAAAATTGTGATTAAACCGAAATTTAACCATTCAAAATGTTGATTAAAAGGGAAATGTGAATATTTCATGGGAAAAAACTAGCTAGCAATTTTGATCATTCATCCAGAAGTTCTCAAAATGCCATGAAATTCGCCAAGAAAAAATCCCACGCCACTCCATCTTCAAGGAGGATCACAGTGGAAGTGGAGAAGTTGTGGTATATCCAATGGTAAATATAGAGCAGCAGCATCCCCAAGGACTTGCCATATTTTGTTGGTGAAATACCCAGAAGATCCCATTTTTTTGGTGCTTTCAACTCCTATTATCCATATGGAGTTTTCCTGAAATGGGGGTAGCCCTAAATCATCCATTTCAAGAAGTGCTTCCACTATAAAAAGTTCATAGAACAAGGCAACCGGTTGGCTCGCCGCCCTTGTAAGGGTGACGAATTTGAAATTATGATTTTTGAGGCTAAGGGAAAAAATGCTGGCATTTGTGGGACTTGTCAAAAAATGTTTGCAATATGGACATTCATTTCGAATGGCAGGCGTGTGACTCAAGTGTGAAAATTTGCGTTTCGGCTGCGCGGTGAATCGATTTTGCTCTTCAAGGGCTAAAAGAAAAAACATTAGAAATTTATGATTTTCAATCATCCCAATCATCTCAGGAAAACATCCACACATCCAGTTTTTTCTCTTCTCGAAGTTTCAGTGCCAGAGTGCTTGTGGCAACGCAGCGGCCACAGACTGCAACAAGGCGACATTATAACGCCATGTCCAGCTGTAAGCCCAAGTGTCCCTTTTTTGTACACTTTCTGGTTTTTCTTGTGGAGCATGGACATTGGTCTCCATTTTAACATCGGAAACATTTTCCGTAACGTAAGTGCACTACTCGTCAGGGACGTTAATAATACACCCCCACCCCCACATCCCCCCTGATGAACATACGACAGCATGTGCAACATGTTAACAACGGCAACATGTTCCGTAACGTAAATGCACTAGTCGTAAGGAACGTTAATACCCCCCACCGCCCCCCTCACCCCCCCGATGACCATACGACAGCATGTGCAACATGTTAACAACGCCGAAAATCAAATCCTGTGACCCCATTTCGGAAACCTTGATTTTTAAAATGTGCAATCCTTCCAAGGGATCGTAAATGACACATCTCAAAATTAATAACCCTTCCAAGGGCGGCGTGTCAGCCACATGCCTAAAACAATCAGCTATTGGGGATCCCCCATTGATGAAAACACCCATATGATTATGATACCGGCCGGCCTGGCTGCCAGATTACATACATCCAAGTCGTTGCCAGGGTGCTTTTGTAGGATGGTGCTCACGGCTGCTTTGGTGAGAAGAACCGCCATGGTTCCATAAGCACTCACAAATTGACCTCGCTTACAGACAACGTGGGAATTTACCAACAAAAAAAGGCTCTTTGAGGGAGAAATTGATAATTGCACTGGTCTGAAAATGACAATTTTTCGAGAACAGACCTTCTGCCGTTGTTTCTGAGGAAAATCCCCAGCAAGAACGGGTCAAACTTGACCAGCGCTCAGAGGCATCGAAATATTAAAAAAATTGCAATAAAAACGCTAATAGTGGATTGACCTCACGAAGATTGAGTTCACCCTTTCAAACATGGGATAAACTTAATCCCAATTATATGGAGAGGAGTTGAAGCCGCAACAGAACGCCTAGCGGCCAGCCAGATACCCCGATCCCAGTTGTGGTCTGGCAGGTTTCCGGGGTTTTCCCGCCCCATCCAGGGGATGATTGCTGGTGAGTACTCGACTTGAGATCCCAGGCTGGAAAATGTGGAAAGCTGCCAAAAACCAATCACTCCATTTCCAAAAAACTGCCATTGGCCGGATGCTTGGTCATACTTCGCAAAAAGATCTCCCAATTTTCATCAAATTTCCCTGTGACCGCCAAAAAAATATGGCTTTCAGGGGCCATGTTTGTCGCTTCAGATCAGAAATGGTTCGCCTTCAGGGCCGTATTTCTTGCTGATTTCATATGATTTTATCATATTTTATCAACATCCTCTTCCTTCATCAGGGTACCTCAGTACCTCTGGCCGCCTCTGGCCAAGCGACTCTTCGGCGCCATCGTGGCGAAGAAAAGGATTTGAACTTCTGCATCGGTGTCCCAGTCCGGCATCTCGGACCAAAAAAGGGTCACGGCCGAAATGACCACACCTCACCACGCTGAGATTCTCTGAAAATAATGGTTTTTAATGGTTTTTACTGTTAAAGTTTACAAAGGTCCCCAAGTTTTTAGTCGTTGTGCTTTGCTCTTGTCTTTTTGGTTGGGTTTGGGCAACAATAGTAATGATCAATGTATTCATATATTTTGTAGTCTGCTTACAATTGTTTTCGTATGTATTCTGTATTCGTATAAGTTTATATGTATTCATCTAATCGTGTGATGATAGGAGCCGGGGTATGTGAGGGTAATGGTACATGTTCCCTATACTTGGAACTCTCCAGAACCACTATTGCAAAGATGGAGACATGTATGGAGAGATTCAAGGCAAAACGCAGTGTGATAGACTGTAATATCTTTGCCAGACAGGACATGTACACTGTACACTGGGCAGCCAATCACTTGTGTGGTAATGACGAATGCCCAGGGCCTAGCCGCCTGGGAACATGCCCAAACTTTAGATGGTTGAAAACGCCTCGCACCAGAATAAGAAGGTTAGGATCATCCCAGAATAACTACAGACCGTACTTGGCGGTGGTTTTCAGACCTGGGTTCTGCTTGGATCAAACCAGTCCCTGCAGTGCACCAATCTGGGGTGAGGTTCCCGCCAAATGTCATGCACAGTGTTTCCTCTGAATTGGCTGAATTTTGTCTGGGCGACCGAAAATTCAGAAGAAAAAGAAAAAATGATCCAGTTCAATTTCTGAGGTTCAATAGAGCAAGCAAATCGCAACAAAAATCCGTTTCACGTCCTTGGGAATATCTGCTGCCTCAACTAAGATCAACAAACCAGAGAATTGAAGGATGATGACCAAGTCGATGCCGTAGGCCTTGGATTTGCTGCCCCTCGTCAGTGCAAATGAGTCTAAAAATAACTATTTTAAAAACAAATCACATACAGAAATATTTAAATCAATTTGTTTTTGCTTGGGTTAATCATCGGTTGATTCAACCGACCTGCACCCAGCGAGTCCGTTACTCTCTGGTCATTGAACATAGCTATGGAACATGGCCAATTAATAGATAATCTCTGATGAATTACCCATTAAAAAAGTGTGATTTGCAGCAGCTAGGTTAAATTACCAGAGGATAACTTAAGGGAAAAAAATCGACAAAGGCGAGGAACGATGTAATTGTGCACCCAGCCCGCGTCACTGTGCCACCCGGCATCAGACTGGGACTGCTGCAGCCAATAGCGAGAAAATGTCCGGGCGCTCCACCCCCGGGCCGAGCAGGCGATGATGGCCTTGGAGGTTCGGGGTTCATAGGAAGTTCTCACCAAAATTTCACCAACGAAGGGCGATTTTTGCTAAAAGAGTTTGGGACTTTACGATAATTATCACGGCTGCCCCCCAAAATAGTGTGTTTTTGGGGGGAAAGAAACACGGCAAAGAAGTGAAATCCTACAACCCCAGCCGACAGCGGGGGAGCACGTGAGAGAAGAGGGGCACAGGGCACAAGAAAGAAACGCAAAAGACCCAGTTTAGTTCTAAATAGAAAAACGCCTGGCCACCGCACCCTAAACACTTAAACAACACAAACAAACAACCAGAGAGCGTTTGAGAGTTTGACAAGTCCAAACATGTTTCAATCTCGGTTTGTCGCATCATCATTGCGCAGGGCCATAGGCAAATCACACTTGACACCATAGATATGACAAAAAAGGAACAGTTTAATAATTGCAAGATCAGTCGGACCCACTTTTCTTTCCAGCTGGGGTAACAACAATGTGAATGGATAAGCAGTGAGGCACGAGGAATCGAAGCAGCCACTGAGCCACTCCCCCAAACCCCCCAAACCCCCCCAACCACCCCTATCCCCAAACCTAGGAGGCGGCAGGAGGCGGCAAGGGGCGGCAGATTGGCGGCAAGGGGCGACAGATTGGCGGCAGCCCTTTATTACCCAGTTCTCCCCTTGTGGCTATCATTTGCCTATGGGTTGGAGCAACTTTAAGAAAGATGGAGTTTTTGGGACAAGAACTAGGATCATCTAGGAAGCCATCAATGGCAGATGGGGCTACTCAAAGCACTGACCCTCGGAATGTAACATGGCAATGGAGAATCCCTCCATTTATAGATGCGTTCCCATTTGAATGCCAATTTTTTCTAGGGGATTTCCCAGCTAGCCATGCTTGATTACAGGAGGGTATATCCAAGTAGTACCGGGCAAGCCGGGGGTCGGAAGTTTCAAAATTGAAACGCTTCTAGCCTATAACAGAGTCTGTGCCTATAGGGTGCAGCCAAGCCTTCCATGCTTCGCAGCAACCACCTTTTCACTTTTGATTCCGCCATCATCTCTTTTCAAGGTTGGATCCTTTCTCATTTTCACCTGACCTCATCTCACTTCATCTCATTTCATCTCACTTCATCTTGGCCAATGTCATCTCATCTCACCTCATCTTATTCATTCTCAGCTCAGAGGCTCATCGTTGATGTCGATTGTTCTCATCTCTTTTCGTGTCATCCTTGCTGTGAGACTTCTTTGCTTTGGGACTTCTTTGCTGTCGCACTTCTTTGCTGTGAGACTTCTTTGCTGTGAGACTTCTTTGCTGTGAGACTTCTTTGCTGTGAGATTTGCTGTGGGACTTCTTTGCTGTGTGACTTCTTTGCTGTAAGACTTCTTGCTGTGAGGCTTCTTTGCTGTGAGACTTCTTTGCTTTGAAACTCCGTAACTCGGAAGTATAGACTTCTAAACTTCCTTTTATTACTGCCACAACAGTAGTGTAGCAAAGTGAGGAGGCCAGGATGAACAACCCTTCACTCTTCCAAGTTGCCCAAGGATCAAAGGTGCGCAAAGTCATCCACAGTAGCTGACTGTGAACCCTTGTCAGCACACACACCAGAGACAGCGTAAAAGCCACCATCGATGCCACCGACATCGTTGAGGACAGCAGTGTTGGTTGATACATGGCGACCGGCGTATTGTTGACACCCGGCACCTCCCTCAAGGTGTAAAATGCTCCAAAATAGTCGGCAGCATGAAAGGCGAGCGCCAGAAACATCGCCATAATCGCGGGCCACTTCTTGCGCAGAAGCCAGTCTCCAACAAACCAGCCTGAGAAATTGTCCTTTATGGGATTGGGAAGGAGAAATTCAAGCAACCCTCAACAATATATATATAAGATTATGTAAGTACAGTTGAAAAAGCGGACCAGCATCCCGTTGAAAATAAATTAGTGCTGGAAAAGTAATCACAAGATTCGAAATCACAAACCGATGATATTGGTGTGCTATAAATATGTTACATACATATGTATGCATGTGTGTACACCTCCATGTTCCACATCCCATGGTGAGTGGTCGTTGTATGTAAATCCTCCGTTTTTGTTTGGTAAAGTCTCTCAAACCACTTAGGTTGGTCGGTTGGTCATTATCTCACCTCTTTTGGTGCAGAAATCTACATCAACTAGTTGCTCAAAGCATGTGAACTCCTTGTCCCTGGTGAGTCCAAGAAAAAGCCCCAGGTCCATCCAGTGTCCATGTTCCCAGTGATCAATAAATTGAAAAAAAAAATTCGGCACCTTGGACTTATGACCAGCAACTAGACATCATATGTCCAGATAGAATATATGCCCGCGCGACCGGCTTCACCACCATCACACAGCCTCGCTTTCCAGCATCTGACACACCTTGACGGGTGATCTCGGTGCCTGCTGGCACGACCATAGCCATCTTTCGACTTGACACCATTCCAATCACCATGGCTGCACCCGCTAACGTTAGCCGCCGCGCCGGTAAGAAGCAACCCCCTTGGGAGGGTCGTCAGGCCAAACCACCTACATCATTTTTAGAATTTTGTGATACACTTGAGCCAAGATTCATAACAATATGACAGAATAACATCTGGTGAGTCAGCCAACACCCAAAAAAAAAATGTGAATGTCGTCTACTATCATTCCACATTCAACAGGAAACATGAAAGAAAAAGAGAGCTTTGAAACAAATAACCAGGCATGATCTTGGCGGGACTGGACAACTTTCCAAGCAAACAGCATCCGATTGAAACCCATCAAGTCCGATCTGCTGCGGAATGATGGCCCCTACCAAAGATAAATGGGGTATGATGGGTTTCTAACCACAAGGAGCTTCTTGCATTTATGAGCCTGTTTCAAACTAGTACCATCAGGTAATCAAACATGGCTTGCTGGAATATCCGCGTATGCATAGATGATTTCCTCATTGAAACTTCCATTCATGTGGCATTTCCCAGCTATGTTTGATTACCCAACAGTAGGGGCCCTTGATTCTGCAGTTCGACTTTTTCGCCGTGCGGTCGCCACGCCATCGCGTCAACAGTGGCGAACAGTTCTGCCACCGCGTGGATCCGGGGACGACAGGGGACGACTGCAAGTCTCAAAATGGTCAAAATGCAAAAGCCAATGTGGGAAACCCACCATCTCCAAGTTGCCAAGTCATGACCACAAATGGCTTGTGGCCTCTTTAAAGCATCAGTCATGGTGGGTTTATTGGGTTTACCACATTGAAGTCTGAAAAGCAGCCGTGGAGCCCCAATTTTCGAGACACGGCACTGAACTCAATGTCGATAAACGCTAAAGAGCCAGATGCATCAAACAAGATTTGTCAAATCACGTGCCACCATGACCCATTGATCCATTGAGCTTCGGATGTGCATCCCTCGATGACAAGGGACATCTTGATTCATCTGGTCTGAAAGGAATAAATGTTGCTTTGGATCTTAACTATCCAGTGTCAGCTTTCCACCAGCATATCTCTTTCGGTATCTCTCCTACGGTACGACAACGGAGAAGAAATCTGCAAGATTCCTTCTTCAAAATGTGAGCAGGGTTCAAAAATTCCCGAACTATCATCCCTTTCTTTGGTTATTGTTGGTTAATACTGTAGGGATTCCCATTAGTGCAACCCCTTTTAATCTTAGAACTTCTCAGGCAACGGTTTTTTGTACCCGTTCTCCTTTTTTGGGATGCTAAGACCTGGCACGGTCTTAAAACCCCACCAGGGGATTTCACCAGCGGTAATTGAAACCTGACATCAACAAACAGGGCAACGTTTTCCAAACATCACAAACATTGAAAGCCTAAAATTGTGCAGAGTTCAAGATCCAAAATGTCACCAAATGAAATACTGATATATACTGATCACAGATTCCCATGGAATCCATGGTTATTATGAGACTCCGAACGAATCCCCAAATATGATGAGGGCTCCTCCAGTCTTCCAAGGTTGAACCTCCGTGCGACCTTGAGGCCATGTTCGTCGTTCGCCGGCTGGGACAGCAAAAAGTCCTGCATTTTTTCACATCAGTTGGGCCATGTTCACCTCATGGGCTACACACGGAAGACTGGAAAATGGGCTGGAATGTTTGTAAACATTCCTGAAAATGGGCTGGAATGCTCTGCCAAAAATGGGTTATGCTCTTGCATTCCAAAGTTTGAGACTCGGGGAACAACGTTTTCTGGTCATTTTGTAGTGTTTAACACTGCAGTTCGTGGGGTATCCAATTTGGACTCATCTGCCCTCCGGTAAACAGACATGGTTTGCTGGAAAATCACCATTTGGTTGATGATTTTCCCATTCAAAATATTCAAACGCCCACCTATACGGGATTTCCCATTGCCATGTACTTGGATTAATTTGGCATTGCCAACCTAATGGTTTTGCCAATTCATATAATTTTTTGGAGAGAAAACTTTGATAATCACGAAACCACTTTATATACATATATAGGATTCCACCAACCAGTGTGACTGTAGAGTTGGGTCAGATTTTTATGCAGAAAAGTTGATGCAATCTGGGTTAGGAGAGACATTTCATCTGTGCCGACGTTTAGGATGCCAGGTGGTAATGTACCAGTGGAGCTGATACAAATGTAGAATCCTGTGACCTCATACCCACGATTAGAACAGACTAGACCACTGCAGCTCTTCATCTGCACATTTCTTGGCAATATTCACAATGTTTATATATATATATATATATGTATACCTGAGAAGGGGGGGGACGAAAGCCAGCCCCCAAAGCAATGCTCATGGTTTTTTTTGTCTCTGCGCTGAAGTATCTCGAAGTAAAGGCGGTTGCTAGTTGTTAGCATTCCACGATACTTTCGTCCAGATCAGCTCCAGCTCGGCCGTTTTAGGCCAAATCCTGGCCAGGAGCCTTTTGGAGCCAGATCCAGAGCAGAAACCTGTTGGAAGCAATTTTCTGCCATTTGGCGGCCATTCGGCCGGCTATTGCATTTCGCTTTTGGGAAGAACGGGAAACGGCTACATATACAATTTTAGAATCACAGCAAGCAAACAGAAGCTATGACCCAGCATTGTGAAGCTAAAAACACATAGACCCTTTTACACACAGACCCTTGCAGACTACACACAAACGCTTTTACACACAGACACTTTTTTACTTCGACACACAGATGCTTTTACACACAGACCCCTTTACAATAGCTTTACACAGAAACACGTTGACACAGAGACGCTTTTACAGACAAACAGCTTCACACAGACACACAGACGCTTTCACACACAGACCCGTGTACGCAGGGACAGCTTTACACACAGACGCTTTTACACATAGACCCTTTGACACACAGACCCTTGCACACACAGACGCCGTGAGACATAGACGCTTTTTTCGCACAGACACTTTTTGACACATAAACATCTTGACACAGAAATGCTTTTACACAGAGACCTTTCTACACACAGACACTTTTACACAGAAACCTTTTTACACACCGACCCTTTTACGCATACACAAAATGTTGCACACAGACCCTTTTACACACAGGCGCTTTTACACACAAACACTTTTATACGCTTTTACACACAAAGGCTTTTACATACAGACCTTTTTACACACAAACATCCTTACACCGAAAGGCTTTTACACAGAGTCGTAGTAGCACACAGACTGTTGGACACACAAACATCTTGACACAGAAATGCTTTTACACGCAGACCTTTTTACACACAGACACTTTTAAACACGAACCTTTTTACACACGGACCCTTTTACGCATACACAGAATGTTGCAAACAGACCCTTTTACACACAGACGCTTTTACACACAAACACTTTTACATACATACGCTTTGACACACAGAGGCTTTTACACACAGAAGCTTTTACACAGAGACCCTTTTACACACAGAAGCTTGTACACACAGACCCTTGTACACACAGATATATCTACAGAGAAACGCTTTTACACAGAGACGCTTTTACATAGAAACATCTTCACACAGAGACGTTGCGGCATGTTTTTTTTACCTTCATTTGTAAAGCCGAAAAATGGTCAAATAGTTGGTGTTTTCGTGTTTTTTGAACAGTCTCGGAGCAAAAAACTCCAAAAAAAAAACCGTGTTTTCTGACGCCTCGCAAGCCCGGAGCCTTTTGGAGCCAGCTTGTGGGACTTTCGCGGCTTGCGGGCCGGCAACTAAAAGGGCCTTCTGGGATCAAGGGGAAACGGCCATTTTTAGCCAAATCCTGGCCGAAGCCTTTTGGAGCCAGCTTTTAAGACTTTCGCGGCTTGCGGGCCGGCAACGAAAAGTGCCTTCTGGGCTCAAGGGGAAACGGCCGTTTTAGGCCAAATCCTGGCCAGGAGCCTTTTGGAGCCAGATCCAGAGCAGAAACCTGTTGGAAGCAATTTTCTGCCATTTGGCGGCCATTCGGCCGGCTATTGCATTTCGCTTTTGGGAAGAACGGGAAAGGGCTACATATACAATTTTAGAACGAACAGCAAGCAAACGGAAGCTATGACCCAGCATTGTGAAGCTAAAAACACATAGACCCTTTTACACACAGACCCTTGCAGACTACACACAAACGTTTTTACACACACAAACGCTTTTACACACAGACACTTTTTTACTTCGACACACAGATGCTTTTACACACAGACCCTTTTACAAGAGCTTTACACAGAAACACGTTGACACAGAGACGCTTTTACAGACAAACAGCTTCACACAGACACGCTTGTACACACAGACGCTTTTACACACAGACCCGTGTACGCAGGGACAGCTTTACACACAGACGCTTTTGACACACAAACATCTTGACACAGAAATGCTTTTACACAGAGACCTTTTTACACACAGACACGTTTAAACAGAAACCTTTCTACACACCGACCCTTTTACGCATACACAGAATGTTGCACACAGACCCTTTTACACACAGACGCTGTTACACACAAACACTTTTACACACATACGCTTTCACACACAGAGGCTTTTACATACAGACCTTTTTACACACAAACATCTTTACACAGAAAGGCTTTTACACAGAGTCGTAGTAGCACACAGACTGTTGGACACACAAACATCTTGACACAGAAATGCTTTTACACGCAGACCTTTTTACACACAGACACTTTTAAACACGAACCTTTTTACACACGGACCCTTTTACGCATACACAGAATGTTGCAAACAGACCCTTTTACACACAGACGCTTTTACACACAAACACTTTTACATACATACGCTTTGACACACAGAGGCTTTTACACACAGAAGCTTTTACACAGAGACCCTTTTACACACAGAAGCTTGTACACACAGACCCTTGTACACACAGATATATCTACAGAGAAACGCTTTTACACAGAGACGCTTTTACATAGAAACATCTTCACACAGAGACGTTGCGGCATGTTTTTTTTTTACCTTCATTTGTAAAGCCGAAAAATTGTCAAATAGTTGGTGTTTTCGTGTTTTTTGAACAGTCTCGGAGCAAAAAACTCCGTTAAAAAAAAAAAAAACGTGTTTTTTGACGCCTCGCAAGCCCAAAACCACGGTAGTTGCGGTGTTTTTTTGCTCCTGGAACCAAAAACCACGGTGTTTACAGTGTTTTATGGCCAGAACCTAGCAAAAACAGTGGTATTTACGCAGTTTTCAGCATGTTGCAAGACGTACTTTTGCCAGGCCAAACGCACAAAAACACCGTAAATTACAGTGTTTCGGCATTTGAAACCCGATGAAAACCGTCAAGAACCACCAACAAGGTAAAGCCGAAAAATTGTCAAATAGGTGGTGTTTTCGTGTTTTTTGAACATTCTCGGAGCAAAAAACTCCGTAAAAACCGTGTTTTTTTGACGCCTCGCAAGCCCAAAACCACGGTATTTGCAGTGTTTTTTGCTCCTGGAACCAAAAACCACGGTATTTACAGTGTTTTATGGCCAGAACCTAGCAAAAACAGTGGTATTTACGCAGTTTTCAGCATGTTGCAAGACGTACTTTTGCCAGGCCAAACGCGCAAAAACACCGTAAATTACAGTGTTTTGGTGTTTGAAACCCGATGAAAACCGTCGAAAACCACCAACAAGTGTCCAAAATGGAGCATCTCGTTCGGGCCCAAAAAACCAGGCAAACGGCAGGTCGGTTTTTGAGCTCTCCCCCCCCAGGCTCCGGCCTCACCTTTCAAAAACGGACCGATTTCGGGCCTCCCCCCCCACACCCCCTAGATTAGCTTCGCTTCGCTTCGCTTATACCTATACTCAAGCCCAGGCCTTCGGCTGGCTTTCGTGATATATATATATATGTATGTATATATATATATTTATGTAGGTTTATGAACAATTTCCCCCCGAGAAAAAACCTCCTGCTCCATCCCAGCGGCGCCTCGCAGCGATGGCGCAGCCGAGGAAGTTGATGTTCCTCGGCAAAGTGCAGCAACTCGTGCACGGTCTCCTTCCCCATGGGCGTCGCGGACTCATGCGACTTGGCGCTCTCCGCGCTGTCTTCGCTGTCCTGCAGCTCTAGGTGGTTGATTCACTTTCTGGCATGTGTAAATGTATACGATCTAAATTTTATATAGATTACACTCCATCTGGGTCCCAAAAAACAGCCGCTTGAAGCTCCTCATCTGGGCAAGGCCGTTTGGAGATCTTTGGCTCCTGGGAGGGTTGAAATCAACACCCCATTCGCCATGCTGTGACCATCCATGTCCCCGCCACTTCTCGAAAAAATCATCTCAACTCTGATTGGCATTTACCAGAAAATCCACCAGATAAATGGCCATCAATAGCTATGTCAGTTTACCAGAAAATATGTGGCTATCGAACTATTATGTCCTTCACTGAAAATATCTGGGATGCCACCAGTGTGACCAACTTGAGACGAACAAAGGCCCGCACCTCCAGGAAAATTGTGATCGAAGTCTCCTTGGGAAATGTGGGGGAAACGCAGCTGTGGTTCTAGAAATGGCGAAATGTATTTCATGTATTTATACTAGGTATTGTTATTGATGTGAGGATGCAAATGCATACGGTGAGAATACATATGTGCCTATGATACATACATATGTGTATTCATATATATATATATGTATATATATATAGTATATATATATATAGTGTGTATATATATATTGTGTATATATATATATTGTGTATATATATAGTGTATATATAGTGTATATATAGTGTATATATAGTGTATAATATATATAGTGTATATATAGTGTATATATATAGTGTATATATATATATAGTGTATATATAGTGTATATATATAGTGTATATATAGTGTATATATAGTGTGTGTGTATATATATATACATACAACTATTTGCTTGCATGCGTGTATGTGGAATATAGGCTGTAGGCAAGTATGGCTCGAAATTTACGCTACAAAGAGCCTACAAACCTGGTCATGTCAGGCGACGGTGTGGTCACCATAGCTTGGATGGTCGCTGGGAAAAGGAGCTTTCACCAGACAATTTGCAGCAGCAAAATCCATGGCGCCCGCGTTGAATACGTGGTACTGCTTCGGCTGTGCCCTGAAGTCGGCTATGTCCTGGACGTTGGTTTTGGGGAAGGCAGAAGATTCAAGTGCAAACATGTCCGGTGAGCTTGGGCCAAGAAAACAGTGGTCCAAGCTGGCTGGGTACAACCATTGGTGAGATTCCCCCGGCGCCAATGGCAGTGGCATCATTGTCGTTTTTTATCAATTGCCATCATCGTTGCTAACAAACCAGATGCCCGGACTGGAAGTGTGCAAAAAAGAGGTCAAATCTGAGATTTTCAGATTTTTTGGACATGAGAAGCCCCAAGTCTCACACGTGCAATGCAGGACTTTTTTCGCTGCGTTGGGAGTTCCCTCCGCCTCGCTGAAGCTTGCAAGCTGGCGCTGGGAAGGCTTCACCAGTTCCATCACTATGCCCTTGAAACTAAATACATGGTAATCCATTAACCGATAAGGAAAAGAATTTCTCCCAAGACATACTTCTTGTTTCCAGATCTTTCTTTCCGTGAATTTCAGGCAGTTCCCACTCCGCTCGCAAGCTTCAACATGGCCACCCTCTGCCCGACGGACGAGAGGTTTACTGCAAACCTGAGGTGCCACAAGAGAGTTGTGCTGCAGCTGTCAGGTTTTGGTTTTAAGTCTGCAGCTTGGTAGCTAGTTACATAGTAGTTAATAACAGTTGATAATAGTTCATAGTAGTTGTTATACCCCCCAAATATCACTGAAAACAGTAGTCTGAATGCATGTCATTGATCAGAATTTCGTTCCAACTCTGGTCGGCAGGGGCACGCGGCATCGGAAAAGTTGAGGCGCACTGCCACTCACTTCGCTGGATATCCACACCGCCATTTGGGCTGGGTCCACCACTCTCCAACCTGACAAAATCCAGGCAAGCATCCACTTGCAATGATCGGTCTTGGGATCGGAAACCATCAAAAACTTGGGACTTGGTCAAGAATTTTGAGCCAACCCAGCTCTTGGTATCCCAAAAAATGGCTCAAATCTGTAGACTTTGGGGGATCTGACGTTGTGACGCACCGCCAAAACACTGCGCATGGTTCCAGATGTTCCAGGTTCCACATCAAGGATGAGAGGGTTCCAGGGCACAAATGACTTTTGCATTCAAGCAAAATTATATAATATGTATATAATAATAATAATCATCATCATCATAATCATAATAATAATGAGAAGAAGAAGAAGAAGAACAAAGAATAATAAGAATAATAAGAATAAAAATAATAACAAAAAAAGAATAATAATAAAAATAATAATAATAATAATAAATAATCATTATTATTATACATATATATATATATGATATGAAATATGATATAATATATATATATATATGATATATATATATAATATATATATATGATTGTTTATCATGTCCACATTAAAATTGCCACTTGCGGGTATCCATTTTCAGACCTGCATAGCTGCAAGAACTACTCTTGATGGGGCCGGTGGAACCTATGCAAAAGTGGTGCCTTAACGTCGTAGTCTTCAAAGTTGTCTTGCCACCTGGCTCGGGAGTAGGTGAATGATGTAGCAATGTAGCTGCAGATCAAAATGACATGCCCAAAAACAGACGATGATTCGATGATGAATGCCAAAACAAAAATCTGTGGATACCCTCTGGTGAACTAACATAGCAATGGAAAATCACCATTATTAATGGGAAAATCCACTATAAATAGCCATCTTTTGAAGGATTGCAGCAAGATCTGCGAAGGATCGTCCTATTCTGGTCCGATGGAGTCCAACCAGGAGGTCCAACCAAGCTCCGATTGCCTCCCTGAAAGTTGAAGAAATGCTCGGCATGCCGACTTTTAGATGGGATGGGCTTTAGCTTCCTTGAAATGGCCACTAAATCGGTGATTCCCAAACAGGTCCGCAAGAATCATCTTGACCCATGCTTATCTTCACCACACCTCATAGATGAAAACATACCCTACAAAAAAAATACAAAGCTTGGCTGGTTGATCGATTTTCCGATCTATGCCAAAAAAATCAACCCACTATAACCCACTGACCTACCATTCACCACTTGACCGGCTCCCAGGCCTCTTGGGGAAGTTTCCAGCCCGCAGCATGATCTCTCGATATTCCTCGTCAGTCGGGCATCCGGTGCAGGACACCTCCCCAAAGAATTTCTCACCATTCACCACGTCGGGATGCAGTGGGCACTTCAGAAGTGGGTATTTTCCGCCGTAGTTAGAGAGATTATATGATATCATATGATATTATATGATATTATATGATATGATATTATATGATGTGAGCGTATCCCAACTTATGGTGGTGATATTCATGCGTGTAACCTATACCCAATGAGAATCCCAGGGAACTGCTACAAACCTCCTCCTTTTTCAGGGGTGCTCAACCATCTCTTCCCACCACCGCTGCAAAAATCGCTGCGAACCAGGGAACGTAGCTTCCCTTGGTATAGGTGCCATGAGGGCCAGTCACATTCTTCGCCAAAGGAAACCCAGAGACCTGACCACAAGGATCAGGGCTGTCAGGGCTGTTCTTCTGGAAGTTCAAACATCACCTATTTGTTTTTGTTTGGATATAAATCTTGATGAGTGGAGGTTAATTCCTAGTATAAACTTGCAACAAAAACATATTGTTTATTCGTTGGGTTTTGCCTCATTCCAAGACTGCACACAACGCATCCATTGGAATCGAGAATATCAGTGTGAAACACTGGAGCCGTGGTGGGGGGTTCCAGTTTTCAATCAAAGGATGTGGGTCGAAACCTCGTCATGTCATCGGGTCGGTGGAAAATCTACTGGAAACCATTGATTTACACACCAAGTACAGAGGGCGTCCTGCAAATTTCCCCAAATGATTTCTGGTGGCCTACCCTGACGGATACAACAATTAATTGCGTTCAGCACGCATTGATCTTATTGGAGCCTGGAATATCAACCAACTTTTGGGTCGGCAACAAAGAAAAACAGGCGTCTTTTTCCGCTCGGTCAGCCGCATGGAGGGGTCCTTTGCCTCTCACCTCAGCCATCCCGTCTCAAGTCATAGAGTCATAGACCACCCAAGATCCATTTTTTGTGACTTTGCGCCAAAATTTGATATGATTGGGTTGGTTTACGGGCAAATCTTGCAGGAAACCCTGCGTTTTTTGCGAGTTTTTGCCCTGTAGATTTGAGGGGATTGTAAATTGTCCTTGTACCCAATGTCATCCAATGTCCAATTGTGAGACAAGAAAATGTCCGGGTCAAAGAAATTATGGAACAAAATCAAAGGAACACAAAAATGTTTTGCATATCTTTGCATCATCAACACGTCAGCTGAACTGCTGCAGTTCACCGCTGCCGGGAGACGGCAGCATCTAGCCTCGGCGAAGGGAAGATCTGCAGGACCCGAAAAGAAATTTAGCAGTGGTCAATTTTCCATTTTAATTTCATTCTACTGGTTGGATAAAATCGGGATTGCCGTAATGGATGATTACAATCCCCAAGATATTCGATAGTACAACTCCCTACAATCATCAACCACGAGGGATTTTGAGCATTGCTCAAACAATTGATGATGGTTACCATTTCATAGGGGATATGTTGTGGGGATATGATGACTATCCCTCAAACATCAGTTGTGCAGTGTCAAAAACCTATTGGAAATCCCCGAATAATGCATGGATTATGACAATCACCAATGTATTGAAGAAAAATGCCTTCTAAAATCAGCAAGCAACCAGGTTTTCTGGAGCTGCTCAGGTGCAGATGATGGCCTCTATTACGTTGATGTGCATAGAGATGCTATATCGTTCTGTGAGGTTGTGATAAATGCATCGAGCATCTATTCGGATTTGTAGCACAACTACATATACATACCAGTAGTACCGCACAAGGCGGTGGCGGAAGTTTCACAAATAGGACACCTATAGGAGAGATTGCTTGTTGTGAATCACGCGTTGCAGAGCGAATCCACTGATGGACCGAAAGGTGGTTGGAGCATATTGGAGCTGTGTTTTTCAGAGTGGCTGCAATGGTTGCAGTGGTCACCTGGTCGGTCACCTCACCCTCAACTGCTGGATCTAGTGTGGTGTAGTGCAGCTGTAGCTGTAGTTGTAACGTAGTGGAGTTGTAGTTGTGGTGTAGTGTAATTAGTGTAGTGTAGTTGCAGTTGCATTTGTGGTGGTGTAATGAGTGTAGCGTAAGGTAATGTAATGTAATGTAGTGTAGTGTAATGTAGTGTAATTGAGTGTAGTGTAGTGTGGTGTAGTGTGGTGTGGTGTAGTGTAGTATGTTGTGCCGTGTGTTGTGTAGTGTGTTTTGTAGTGTGTTGTGTTGTGTGTTGTGTAGTGTGCTGCGTATTGTGCAGTGTAGTGTAGTGGAATGCAATAGTGTAGCGCAGTTGTAGTTGCAGTTGTAGTGTGGTGTAGTGTTTTGCAATGTATTGTAAATGTAGTTGTAGTTGTATTCGTAGTTAGTGTAGCGTAGTGGCGTAGTGTAGTGTAGTGTAGTGTAGCGTAGCGTAGTGTTGTGTTGTGTTGTGTTGCATACATACATACATACATACATACATACATACATACATACATACATTACATACATTACATACATTACATACATTACATACATTACATACATTACGTACATTACGTACATTACGTACATAACATACATACATACATACATACATAACATACATACATACATACATACATACATACATACATAACATAACATACATACATAACATACATACATAACATACATACATACATACATACATACATACATACATACATACATACATACATACATACATACATACATACATACATACCATACCATACCATACATACCATACATACCATACCATACATACCATACATACCATACCATACATACCATACATACATACATACATACCATACATACATACATACCATACATACCATACATACCATACATACCATACATACCATACATACCATACATACCTACCATACATACCTACCATACATACCATACATACCATACATACCATACATACCATACATACCATACATACCATACATCCCATACATCCCATACATACACACATACACACATACACACATACACACAGACACACATACACACATACACACATACACACATACACACATACACACATACACACATACACACATACACACATACACACATACACACATACATACATACATACATACATCCATACAATACCATACCATACCATACCATACATGCCATACATACCATGCATGCATGCATACATACATACATACAGACAGACATACATACATATATAACCATGACATCATTACATACATGCATGCATACATACATACATACACATACATACACACACATACATACATACATACATACATACACACACATACATACATACATTACATTACATTACATTACATTACATTACATTACATTACATTACATACATAACATAACATAACATAACATAACATAACATAACATAACATACATAACATACATAACATACAAAACATACATACCATACATACATAACATACAACCATACATACATACATACATACATACCATACATGCCATACATACCATGCATACATACATACATACATACATACATAAATTACGTTACATTACGTTACATTACGTTACATTACGTTACATTACGTTACATTACATTACATTACATACATACAGACAGACAGACAGCCAGACAGACATACATACATACATTACATACATACATACATACATACATACATACACACATACATACATACATACATACACACACATACATACATACATACACACATACACACATACACACATACACACCTACACACCTACACACATACACACATACACACATACACACATACACACATGGCACATACACACATACACACATACACACATACACACATACACACATACAAACATACACACATGGCACATACACACATACACACATACACACATACACACATACACACATACACACATACACACATACATACATACATACATACGTACGTACGTACGTACGTACGTACATACATACATATATACATACATACATACATACATCCATCCATCCATCCATCCATCCATGCATACATACATACATACATACATACATTACATACATTACATACATTACATACATTACATACATTACATTACACTACACTACATTACATTACATTACATTACATACAATACATACATTACATACATTACATACATTACATACATTACATACATTACATGCATTACATGCATTACATGCATTACATGCATTACATGCATTACATGCATTATTACATACATTAGTACATACATTAATACATAAATAAATAAATACATACATACATACATACATTGCATGCATGCATGCATGCATACATATATATATATATAGTGTGTATATATATGTGTGTGTATAATGCCCTTCAGATGTATCTGTAAAAATCAGGTGCGACCTCCCACATCTGGGCAAGGGACCCAGTGAAGGCACCCTTTTCAACGTCTTTGGTCGATGGGTTTTCTCCACGCTGGTAACTCCCTCCTCACTAATACGCCAAATGTAATCCTCAGTCCGGGGAGCTCGTGGAGCATCCTATCAATACTGCTTAGTCACTTGGGCACCAGGCACGGAAGATGGGACCTGAAGCGAAAAATAGGTGATGCTAAGTATTGCTTTATTGTTTATCAAAATATTTGACATATGTAATATATATATATATACTAATACACTGTGTATAAATATATATATACATATAGCCATCCAAAATTTGAATCTGAGTCCTTGGGAGCTATGGCCAACAATGCAATTCTCTTCCAGAAATCGTTTTAGATTGATTTAAGGGCAAGCTTCTGCGATGGACGTCTTTATGCTGCCAGTGGAAAAAATCACCTCAACGGCCGGATTGTTGGGTCGGCGCCATGTCATGAATTGCTAAGTCCCAAAGTGGTGATTTTCAGAAAAAAAAATATGTAACATGATGAAAGATGCAGAAAATAAACATATTCAAAGCATGTGCCATGCTATGTGGATATTCAATGAGTTCCCCTTCCCTGATCACAGCAAGGGACCGTTCTAGGACGTCGCTGTCGCAAGGTCCATCTAGCATCTTCATCGATTTCAAGACCCCTGCAGAGTTTGACCAACCATCTCTGAACTGGTCGTGAAAAATAGACGACCAGTCGGGAAAGATCGCGAATCAACATCTTTCAAATCACTCTGATTATGTGTATATATATATATATGTACATATGTATATGTACATACATACATATATATATATACATGATATATATATATATATGATCATACATGTACATATATATATATTGAATACTGTTCATAGTTGCATCAATCAACATCAATCAACCAACTAGTCACCTGGGGGTCACCTGGAGCTGTCGACTCCCAAACCCCGGGATCTGGGATCTATCCAATGCAAACAAATGGGGATGCGGGGATTCCAAACATCTCCCCGATTCCAACAGGCCTACCGTTAAGCAAGTTGCTTCAAAGAAAGGGATCTTGTCTCCTCCAAAACAGAGAAACCGCTTATAGTCAAAGACGGGTGGTAAGAAGAAAAGGACACCCGCCACAAGTTTAGCAGGTGCATTTTTGGGGGTGCAAACTTGTCCAGCACCTGCTTACTGCAGTCTTTCCGGCAACATGTCACCAATAACCCCAAACCTGCTTACTGGGGTTGGTTGTGGTCACACACTATGAACATAATTTATCAAATCCTCATCAAATCCTCATTTTATCATCATTTTATCCTCATTTTATCCTCATTTTATCTTCATTTTATCCTCATTTTATCCTCGTTTTATCCTCATTTCCTCAATAAATCCTCATTTTATCTTCATTTCCTCATCAAATCCTCATTCTATCCTCGTTTTTTCCTCATTTCCTCATCAAATCCTCATCAAATCCTCATTTTATCATCATTTTAGCCTCATTTTATCTTCATTTCCTCATCAAATCCTCATCAATCCTTATCAAATCCTCATTTTATCCTCATTTTATCCTCATTTTATCCTCGTTTTATCTTCATTTCCTCATCAAATCCTCATCAAATCCTCTTTTATCCTCATTTCCTCATCAAATCCTCATTTTATCCTCGTTTTATTCTCATTTTATCCTCGTTTTATCCTCATTCCCTCATCAAATCCTCATCAAATCCTTATTTTATCCTCATTTTATCCTCATTTTATCCTCATTTTATCCTCATTTCCTCATCAAATCATCATTTTATCCTCATTTTATCCTCGTTTTATCTTCATTTCCTCATCAAATCTTCATCAAATCCTCATTTTATCCTCATTTTATCCTCATGTTATCCTCTTTTTATCCTCATTTCCTCATCAAATCCTCATCAAATCCTCATCAAATCCTCATTTTATCCTCATTTCCTCATCAAATCCTCATTTTATCTTCATTTCCTCATCAAATCCTCATCAAATCCTCATTTTATCCTCATTTCCTCATCAAATCCTCATTCTATCCTCGTTTTATCCTCATTTCCTCATCAAATCCTCATTCATATCCTCATTTTATCCTCATTTATCCTACATACATACATACATACATACATACATACATACATTACATACATACATACATACATAGGTTCATGAAACAGGATGCAAAATAAATGAGGTTAGATAATGAGGATTAAATGTGCAATCACAACAGCGTGTTTCAACTCTCAACAAAGGTGCAGTAAGCAGTTTTCATTGTTGATGGTTTGATGATAAAACCGGAACCTGCTTACTGCACCCCTGAAATCCAGGATTTTCCCCAAAAGTGCCAGAATCTAGCCATTTTAGGGTGTGGTAGGCAGAAAAATCTCTTCTTACCACCCGTCTTTGACTATAGTTTCAAGGGAAAATCTGCAGAGAACGCGCGTGTACAAAAAAGAATTGAGGTTTAACCATCTCGATGTTCCAAAAACATGAGATCTGTTCCAAAACCCCGTGGATCCCTTGAAAGATTCCATCAAATCACCCGAATTCTGGGCCTCTTGTCCACAAATTCCCGCAGAAGCGACAGGATCACCTCCTGCGAGGCCGGACCACAGCTGCACGTACTGCAACCCTGGAAACACATGCAAGCAGTTTATTGATGGCCCCTGTACGTATGTATGCATGTAGATTACATTACATTACATTACATTACATTGCATTTACTTACATATCTGTACATATGTATATATATATGTGCGTGTGTGTGCATATGTGTACATATACTTCACTAGGACGAAAGTTCTTTCTTGCGCGCTGTTTCAAAACAGAGCAGTTTATATCTCTTTGCGGATCAACGTTTTGCTTTCGCGTGGCCTGCATGGTGGATCGAATTTAGTAGTCGCTTTAAATTAAATTCTTTTAAAGGTTACGAATGTAGTCGGTGTTCCATCGACCCAAGTAGAAAGTTCTTACGTAGAAACTTCTGTTGTAGGAGTCTATGGGAAAAGGTGTTGGAAAGCCCAAGAGGAAAAAACCTTTGTCCTGGCGACGTGTATATATATATGCATATATATATATATACATATATATATATATGTACATACACATACTGCATATCTATATGTATTCATGCATGACATGACATAACATAACATAGCATAACATCGCATGATATAGCATGACATCACATTGCATTGCATTGCGTTGCGTTGTGTTGCATGGCATTGCATTGCATGCATACATACATACATTATATAGCGCGTATCTAGGTATAGATATATATATATATATATGGTCCCGTCCTCCGTCTCTCCACCCCCCCCTCCCCTCCCCATGGGTTGGGTCCCCAGGTAGCAGCCCCAATTCCCTTCTATTTGCAAGCTATTGGCAGCATTTCTGAGGTCCAGCTTCGTATTTGCTAGGTCTTTGCAGCATTTCTGACTACCAGCCTCGCATTTACTAGGTACATGCTACCTTTTAGGCGACCTACGTAGCACACATACTCCTTCAAAGTACCTACGTGCTACCTACAGTCATATATACATGTGCTATGTATCTACTGTATCTACTTCCTATTTACTACTTGTGTACTCTGACAACACTACCTGTGTTTAACATATACCGTACCTACCATACATGTCAATGATGCCATGCATACCATACCTATCGTTTCTATCATACATACCATACATACAATACAATGTAATTACCACACCTACCATACATACAATAGCAAACATACATGCCATACATACCACACCTTACATAGGAAATATTCCATACCCGTCATAGTAACCATACATACCATACAGACCATGCATACTGTCATATCAAACATACCATACCCAACAGACTTACATACCATACCTACCATCCATACAATACCAACCACTCATGCCATACCAGACCGACCATACACACCATACATACCCAACATACCATACCACACCCCCACCACACCACAGGGGGGGTGAGGTAGCAATCCCTCTGTTAGGGGAGCCCTGGAAACTAATATACAACACCTGCGGACAAGAAGTGGCTGCTGCACTCTTTTCTATGCTGCGGAATTGCTGCTAGTCTTGAGCCATGCGGAGTGCGCATGAAAGATATGAATTAAGTGTACATGTCAACATGCATGACAGCATTGTGTAGACACGTAAACAAAAAGAAATCACAAACAGACACAAATTTTCTTCGTGTCGGAACATGCAAATCTGTTTCACAGGTAGCGCTCAGCCTGTGATCTGCTGTGAGACGGTCCGAAGACAAAAACAAAACTGTACAAAAAGCTACTCTCCGCTGTTGGAAAGCGGTTGTACTCGGCTGTTGACAAGCGACCGCAAATGCGGAACATTGCAATTTTTTTGGGGCTACAAGCCCATAGTGAAATAGTAACCGTAGAAACTCAGTTCGTTCCTCCTTCTGAGTTCACCGGTCTGATGAAAGAAAATGGACTGATCCGGTGTTTGCGGAATCATGTCAAGCCACGATCCGTCGTATTTCTGAACCCAACGCTGTCTGGGTACTTGGTACCCTGGGACGTATTCTACATTAGAGGTATGAGGATTCACTCTATAGTATGACGGCTCATCATAGTTGTAACCGTAATTACGGTACCCGGAAGAGCTAGAAGCTGTTCCTTGGTCAAGCCATTGCGAACCCGTCATGCGGGATGGAGGCGCAGGAGGCTCAGGTACGTTGATTGGCCTTTTTCTGGTTGTTTGCCTCTGGTCGGCCTGCTGCGAACTCTCTCTCCACGGCGGTGGAGTCTTCGGTGGACCTGGCGGATCAGGTGGCGTTCTTGGCTGTTGTGAACCTAATGTTCGTCCGGAAGCCGGAACTGGAGGAGCCTTTACAGGCGGCCGAGCACTTGAGGAAGATCCTGATGACTTCGGTGCTGATGGTTCTTTTAGAGACATTGGTGCTGCTTTATATTGCACTGGTTTAGGATTCACTGCTGGACCTCGAGTAGGTGCCGGAGGCGGTGCTGGTGTTTCATTCCTGGGTCGATAGCTTCTGGTCCTGCTGACCGATCGACTTCGAGTCCGTCCAACATTCCGGTGTGAATCAGTCCGCAAAGGCGGAACACTGTCTCTTCTTTCTTCTCGTTTGTCGAGATATCCTTGAGTTTTCTGCATCCATTTTTCACGTCTTTTATCTTCAGATTCTTTGGATCGGATGCGCATATTTTTCAATGATTTTAACTGGGCATATGTAAGTAGAGGTGAATGCCATCCACAGTCCTTCTCAGCCAAACCAAGATCATATGCCATCAAATGTTTTAACTGTTCAACATCGTTCAACATAACTTCGTCTGAAAAAGCTGATCCTGCAAATCCATCTGCAGAAGCGGATTCTTCTTTGGCACGTGCTTCCGTGACAGCGATCTGCTTACCGTAACAAAGAGAAATTAAAAGCATTGAACCACAATCAGCATCATCTCCACGCATGCTTCGGATGTAATCAGCGGCAGTGGTCGATGAAACTACGTTATACGTAATACGGTTGATCGGACTGCGGTGAAGGTTGATCTGCTGGAGAAAACGTTCAAGGATGTCGATCATGATGCATGTCCGGAAATCGGAATGGTCATCAGACTTAAAACTTCGCTGTGCGAAAAGGTTGCCGTCGCCGGACAAAAAGTCACACTGGTGCTCGACACAGCTTGCGACAAATTGAAGCCATTTCTGGCACGTCTCTTTATAAGCACCACTCCATGCATATGAAGAAATATGAAAAACCGCTACACGGCATTCAGCTAACATGAGACGTCGTACGTCATGGGTGTCAGCACCAAGATTCACTTCACAGGCTTCCACGCCGGAGACGGCAAGATCATCATCTCCGTCGATCTCGCAGATCGAGTGATCAAGAAAATCGAGTGTAGATGCAAGTGGGCGATCATGCTGGTAAACCGTAGATTCGGCATTTTTCTCGATGTCCGGTTTCGGAACACGAGCGCCAGAAGAAGGGTCAACAAATTCTCCTGACGTATTCATGCCATGGCAAAGGCGAAAAATGGCGCCATGCAAAATCCAGAACGGCGCATCTTTATTGGCTGTTTCAATCTGGTGTTGACATTAAAAGTTCAATAAATGAGCCTGCATCATGTGAGCCACGGAGAAAAATTGCAACGGACTGTGATTGAATGTGCGGGTGAACTACCATGCCGATCATCCCATACTCTTCGGCAAGTTCTCGATGAAAGGCAATTCCTCCGTATTCGTCGGAAGCCTCGCACAAGCACACAATATGGGCCGCATTACGGAACACTAAATGTGGCAAGGCACGATGGTTAATATCAGTTCTGACCCATTTTGGAAATTTTGAACAACCTCCGATATACGGAATACGGTTGATGTGACCAAGGTTCAACGTCAAAATGCCAAGCTGATACGTGTCCTTCTGAAATTCATGGATGTTCTCCTTAGTGCGCTTGGCAACACCGAGGATTGCTCTTTTACCAAGAAGGCACGATCTGAAGAGCTCCAATAAACGGAGAATCTCTCCTTCCTTAAGGTCACCGCCGTCAGGGTACTTGAAGAAAGCCTCAGGTCGCCAGATCGGAAGTGGCGTCTGGTCCTGGGCGTCAACAAAGTGCTGCTGGAGAGTAGGGATTCGACTTCCAAATGGCATTTCATAAAAAAAAATCTGTATAGTCGAAATCCTCAATACCATGCCGTGCAAAGGACTGCAGGTAGGTATTCCCCATGGAGCGGCCTTCACGCAGATGCGTGATAAGTTCCGAGAATTTTTCCTGACGGTTTTGAGCATGCTCGCTTCGTGTGGCTCCGAAATACGAAGATTCAGCAAGAACAGCATCAACCAATTCTTCGATATCGAAAGGCGACTTGGATGAGCCGATGCTGTCTGGAATAAAATCGGCGGACAACCCAGAGGAATAATTAACAATGCTATGTTTGCAAGCTAAGCCGCAGGTGCGGCATTCCAAGCAATAGGCAAAGCCACAAGGGTGGCACCAGAACATTGCCTCTGCACTTCCGCATTCGGAAAAATTCTTACAGCATTGAGGACCCGCAGGGCGAGGAAACCATTGAATTTCGTCTGTATCCTTTTTAAACTTTGTGAAAAACTTTTGGGCTGCGTCCGCATCACGGAACAAGTCTTTTGCCTGGGCGTTCATCTCACGGCGTGCCCTTGTCTTAACAACCTGTCTGCGGCCGCCCCAGGGAGATGCGGCCTGCAGATCAATTTTAGTGTCAGGGTCTATGGTGCCGGATGCTTGATCGGAGCTAGCCGCAGTGGCGGCATCCTTCTGTTTCTTTGGCATAGGCTTGGCCTTGACAGGCCTTTTGGGAGTTTCACTCTCCGAGGCGGAAGACTGCTCCTTGTTCCTCGCCTTGGCGAGATGGTTCTTAAATCGCTGGGAAATTTCTGCCTTGAGTGTTTTTACTCTTTTGTCTGCCTCTGTCTCAGGCGGGCCAAGCTCTTGGTCGTTCGGAGTGACGTTGGTGCGCAGAGGCCTGGCCGGACCGGAATCGGTACTACGGAAACTTTCCAAAAACTTAGATACTACTGGAACCTTTTCAATTTCTTCTGCCACATACTCCACATATTCGGAACGTGACCAGGTAA